GCTTAATACTCTCCACAAGCCTCGTTTGAAGAAGGACATGTCATAGCGCTCGGGAAACACCGTGGAGGGGAGCTCATTCCATAGCCGGATGGTACGTGGCAAAAAAGATCTCTGGAAACGCACTGTGGATGACCGCAGTGGCTCCAGGTAGTATGGATGAACTCTACTCCGGTGGCGGGCGGTGCGATGGTAAAAACGAGATGCCGGTATCATCTCGAACAATTCCTCAGTGTCAATTCCTGTGGTGCAGTAGTTAGCGGCTCTGACTGTTGCACAACCCTCCTGTGGGTTCGATTGCTTGTAGGCTAAAGATGGCGATAGAAAAGACGACGAGACTTAAGTTAAAGAAATAAATCACTATACATTTTCAACATATATTCGTCAAATAAAATACAACATAAAATTATTTATATTTCACTACACCCTGTAGTTGTCGTCTCTGTGTTTTTCTCTTCCTCAATAGTTCCCACTTCTTCCTCTAGATTCTCATTGAGGATTACATCAGTTTCTGTAGTTTCTGAAGTTTGGGCATCAGCGTTTTCAACCAGTTTGAATTTGTTTACGTCTACAAAAAAAACAACAAAAATAAGTGTTCTTATTTTAGAAAATATATACCAATTTAAGATACTAATAATAATATTCAGTGTGTATATTTCTTATTATTGATTTCTGATTATTTGAAAACGTCATCGCTTTTCAAGGCGTTGAATAGTAGTAGTTTTATTTTTCCAAATGGAAATGCAAAGGTATCATACCATACAGCCTAATCTTTTATATATTTTTTTTATATGAAATATGATATTATGAAATGAAATGAAGTTGATTAATATGAAATATGACATGAAATTATATGAAATGAGATGATATGATATGGGGTATTATTATGAAAAATGATAATATGGAGTGAAATGAAATGAGATAAGATGAGATGATATGGTATGAAATATAATCTCAGTAAAATGGTGGTCATTTACTGAGACTTTTTCAGTGGACTTTTTGGAGTATCCCGAGAAGTTACGTCCAGCGGCTTCGTTTCATTTTCACACATTTGTGCACTTTCACAGATATTAAACAGTTAATAAACCACCGTTATTACATATTTAAACCTGAAGAAACACTAAATAGATAAAATAAAACAAGTCACACAACTTCACTCCTCGCGTTCCCGCCAAAAGTCCTAATAAAACTGACACATGAGCCGTACACATAGTATATAAAAATACAGGTTAAAGTGTCTTTTTCAATAAAGCCAATCACGACGATATTTTGAGGTTAATGGAACGGTAGGCAGCGGCTTGGGTCTGCCCTTGGCATTGCTGAAGTGCATGGGCGACGGTAACCATTCACCATCGTGGGCCTTGTGCTCATCTGCTACAAGGGCAATAAAAAAAACAAGTGTGGCACTCGGAGACTGCCGCGGTAAAGCTATTGCATAGATTTTTTAACAGCTTATGCAATTATAATTAGACAATAATAATTTAATTTTAAAACAATAAAATTAGACCATGCTATATTTATAAACATTAACAAAAGCAAAACATTAACTGTCTCCGTCACACTCATAAGCTAGACCGCGCGAGAGAGAGATGGGAAGACTTTTCATGATACCCATGCAGTGCGACGTCACGCCGCGCGCTTATTCATAAACGTGTTGAACGCGAGCGACATAGTAGGCGGAGTGGGGGTGTTAGGTTTTATTTTCGTTACAGAATTTCTTGATTCGGTCGCCGCGATCAAAGTTATGCAATAGCTTAATAGCTTAAATAAAGGAAGTTGTTTTGAAGATATTGCTTTTTTTTCTTGTAATCAACCAGCGTATCTCATCTCGTTTACCGTATTTACTGATATCGGCTCCGAGTATCCGGAGGTAGTGCACGGCGTCCGGCGCGGCGGTGTAGGCGCGCAGCGAGTGCACGCCGCGCCAGCCAACCAGAGTCAGTTCCAGCTTCGATTCCCGATCGCGGTACTCCAGCACGCAGCTGCCGGTGGCTGGGGATATTAATTTTTTTTTTATTGCTTATGTCTATCTGGTGTTATGTGGTTACAGGAGCCCATAGACATCTACAAGAGATATTGATATTGAGATATGAGGTCTCAGTTTTTACAGTACAACGACTGCCTCACCCTTTTTTTTGTGAACAATAAAAATTACTCTCTCTCTATCTCTTTCTCTAAAAATTAATGTCCAATGTTGAATTTGAACGCTGGTCTATTCGTGTGAGTTGATGCCAATGCACCGGGCGTCTTACCTACCAGATGGTTAAAGGTTGCTTAGTTGGATGGACGGGCTTACGGCCCCAAAGTTGGAGCCCATAGACATGAGTTTTCAGTCTCAGTTTTAACAGTACAACGGCTGCCCCACTCTTCAAACCGAAACGCATTACTGCTTCACGGCAGAAATAGGCAGATCGGTGATACCCACCCGCGCGGAATCACAAAAGGTCCTACCACCAATAATATATGATTAACGAAAATCGAATATAATATGGCTGTTTGTGACTGTATGATTAAACTCCTTTCAGCAAATGAAATTTGAGAGTTTCGATATATTGGCCGGTGAATTGATGAGCTCACCTAAATCTTTGACCAGGTTCTGCGTGTGCTCCGAGAAGAGTTTGATATCGGGCGGGTTGCTGGGGTTGTCGCACTGCAGGACAAGTATCAAGTCGTCTTTGAGTATCTCTATTCTTCGTTTAGGTCCGATGTACTGCGCTATGCTCAGGAGGCCTTCCTGGGACAATCTAAAAATAAATAAAAAATAAAGCAGTCTCTTAAAATTGACAGTCGTCGTGGCCTAAAGGATAAGACGTCCGGTGCATTCGTGTGTAGCGATGCACCGGTGTTCGAATCTCAGGCGGGTACCAATTTTTCTAATGAAATACGTACTCAACAAATGTTCACGATTGACTTCCACGGTGAAGGAATAACATCGTGTAATAAAAATCAAACCCGCAAAATTATAATTTGCGCAATTACTGGTGGTAGGACCTCTTGTGAGTCCGAGCGGGTGGGTACCACCGCCCTGCCTATTTCTGCCGTGAAGCAGTAATGCGTTTCGGTTTGAAGGGTGGCACAGCAGTTGTAACTATACTTGAGACCTTAGAACTTATATCTCAAGGTGGGTAGCGCATTTACGTTGTGGATGTCTATGGGCTCCAGTAACCACTTAACACCAGGTGGGCTGTGAGTTCGTCCACTCATCTAAGTAATAAAAAAAATTATAATGGGTGTGATGGCGTTCCGCAAATTGGACATGATGGGGCGATTCGTTGTGGTATCTGTAGAATATCTGTGTAAGTAGGTACCCAGGTCTTTGATAGGTATAACGAAAAATAGACTACATTAATAACAGAAAAAGACACGGCTATAGTATGTACATTGCAAAATCGATCAAAGAAGGGAATAATCCGTACATATTCCGCCGAATAACAAAAGCTTTATCTAGGGAAATGTACATAGACTATAGAAGCGTCGATATTCGTAGTTCGATACATAAACCATATGATAAGAATGGTTTCTCTTCGAAAAATGGGACAGTCGTTATATAGTATATTTGAGGCTCAACCTCATGTCTCAAGGTGGGTCATTTGAAACCAATGTTTATTATTAAACAAGTCTAGCAACATTTTTTTTATTGCCCTTGTAGGCAGACGAGCATAGTAAATGGTTACCGTCGCCCATGGACTTCAGCAATACCAGGGGCAGAGCCAAGCCGCTGCCTACCGCAATTAGCACTATACTAAGCGTCTGGATTGTTTATTTATTTTATTTTTTATTTTATTTTATTTTATTTTATTTTATTAGGCTCACAATACACATCACAAACTAAGTTTAACTTAAAGTTAAAGCTAAGCTAAGTTTAGTTTAGCTAGTTTAACTTTGTCTTCCTTTGTTTTTGATGTATGTTTTAGTCTATTAGAAATACATTCATTCTTGGTAACTTCGGATTCGTTTTTCCCAGAGTCTACTAGATATTTCGGCGCCTTAGTAAGAAGATTGAAGATAGATATTGATATAGTTACTTCAGTGCGTCGCGTAGGGCACCGGTGACCTACACAGCAGTTAATGTGTTAAGGTATTCCTGCAGATCCCTGCGAGGCAGTCTTTCTTTTATCTAAGCTCAAAGTCTGAGAGACTATATCAGCGAGCGTCACCGGGAGAGTAGGTGAGCTCACGGAGCTCAAACCTGAGGTTGTTGCTAACATGAACCTCAGCAAGAGTCATGCTACTCAGAATCTACCACCGAATCGGAAACGCGACCTACTGACTTAGTGGGCTGTGTCTGAGGGTTAATTTACTAGTCGAGCCCTTCGTCGATACTCATTATAATCAAGATTTTGAGCTCATCTTAAGATTACGGGCGGTATTCCCGTTGCTGTCCACGGGCCTCACTGTGCCGCGCGCAAGTTGAGAGTACTGACCTGAACGGGCACGTCATATTCTTGTTGTCACACCTCACGAAGGTCTTCACGCCGGTGTTGATGATCTTTATATTCCGTTCGTTCCTCTGCACCACGTCCCTCACCACCGGCGACACGAGGTATATGTTTTTCTTCTTGCCGACGTGACATCTGGTCAACAGGCATTTAGGATCGAAGTCGTCTTTGAGGTCGTAGTACGATTTGATTGATGGGAAAACGTCTTCATCATTCCCGAAGAACACGAAAGGGTCCTCCCGGTAGCCGCCCATCCTCCTGCGCTTCTGCGGCGGAGCACTCTTGACCTCCTGCGGCTGCTCTAATTGCGGCTCAGCGTCCTCCTTCTCCCAGGGTAGGTTGGCGGTCTTCTCCAGGACCGCCACGAAAAATCCGCCCGTGTCCTGCTGGTGGGGCAGGATCCTTATGCTGGAAGACAGAAGCGATATACAAGGGTGTAATTTTGTAGGTTCGTTTGTGGTCCTTGTGGATTGCAGGACGAATTCACCACCAACAGAGTACGACTTCGGATTCTCTCATCAAAGAAAATGGTAGATGATTTCAAATTAAAAATAATTGTGTTCTGTTTTTTTTTAAAGATCTAATGTCTTATTTTTGGAGTAAATGTTGCATAAAAATATTATCTATTTTTAATTAAAACTAGACAGATCTATTGACCATATGTGACCAAGTTCAGCATGAAGATACTGACACAGCATCCGGAAACAACATTTTATACTGATCAACAAAAAATTCAATGGTTTTTATTTTCAGATTTTTTAGTTAGTTTAACTAACGTAGGTTTTGGAGACAGTTTTAATTTTTTGATTAAACCATTTATATTATATACAAATACCTATTACAACTTATACAATATTATGGCATAGCTTGTCAGTAATAAACATTACATATCGACGCTTGAAAGGCAAATGTGACTAAGCGACAATTCGTGAACTTTACAGTAATTGAAGTTGAAATATCTGAAAAAAAATATTTTTTAACGAATCTAGCTGTAGGATTGAAATGATTTTAATAGATCTAGACATTTTTTTTTTTGTTCATCGAATATGAATATTGCCTATCATTTATATGCCGTTATTAATTATTATTAATTTATATTATTAATTAATATTAAAGCCGTTATTGTCGCTTAGTCGCGTTTGCCTTTCAAGCGTCGATATATTCAATAATTGCACAAGAAAAGAATCAAACAATTTCACATACCACTTTTCTAATTGGTACTTTTCTATTTCTTCAGCGGTGGGCGGGAACATCTGAGGTCTGACCACGGTCTGCCACTTCTCTGGTACGTCTTCGTATTTGTCGTAGAACACCATGTCCTTGGAGGCTGGGCGCCAGTGGGTCATGCCTAGGAGCGACATCAACATATAAATCTTTAAGGGAGAAGGGAGAACAAAATTCGGATCTAAACTTCATTATATAAACTACCGGCCACACGTTGCTGTGGCTAAGGTTTTTGTTTCTAAATAACACGTGGCCGGCTGTTCTTATACCAAAAATTAACAAAGTAAGAACAATTGGATTTCACTGCATTGCGTTTACTACGAAATAAATTTCACTTATAGTTTAGCCTCAGCAACACGTGGTGTTTATGCCATTAAATTGTAGCTTATGTGAAACGTTGGTATTTTTAACACAGCGCCATCTATGAGATATTAATGCCAGACAGTATTACAATTGTCTGTAAAAACTGATTTAAGGCGCCATCTGTTTTAGATTTATGAAACTTCAATTAACAATCTATACTAATATTATAAATAGGAAAGATTTGTTTGTTTGTTTGTATTGAATAGGCTCCGACACTACTGAACCGATTTGAAAAAATCTTTCACTGTTTGAAAGCTACATCATTCCCAAGTTACATCTATACTAATATTATAAAGAGGAAAGATTTGGTGTTTGTATTGAATAGGCTCCGAAACTACTGAACCGATTTGAAAAAATCTTTCACTGTTTGAAAGCTACACTATTCCCAAGTGACATAGGCTATAATCGTTTTTGAAAAAAATTAGGGATCCTTACTAAAGCTCCAATAATGTAACCCAAGGTGTAAAAATATTACCTAAAATATTTTTTACATCGCGTGCCCTGCGAAAACTATTGATGATAGAATAAAATAATGTACAACGACTTTGTAGAACACATTATTATTTACAAAAAGTGTCGCGATAGCATATGTCTTACTATTATAGTTATGCCGCAATAAGTGTTCTTATATTTTTTTAAATAAAACGTTAAATATCGTTGAAATTTTTGTTAAAGACCCGAGCGGAGCCAGTGCGTGCCGCTGGTAATCAATATAAGAAATCATTTCATTGTTCATTAATAAATATTGCGACCATTAATTGAAATAAAAACCATCCTATGGCCTAAGTTGGAACAAAACACATATTTAAAAAAAAAGAAGTTAAAATCGGTTAAGTAGTTTAGGTGTCCATTGCGGACAAACAAGTACGTAATTTATATATATTAATTAAGATAACTATTTCTTTTCTATGAATTATAAAAATGTCATTAAATAATAAGTCTCCATTAAAATATTAAATAAAACTCTATTAAATTATTAGATAAATTTTAATTATCGTTTTTTTTTTTTTGTTCTCTCTGCTTCGAATTAAACGGCCTTTATATTGTTAATGTCACGCTTTTAGGGCTGTATGTATCGCCTATGTCTACAATTTTCCACAGCTATACAACTGGAACATTCGCGAGTCGTATTTGATATGATATCCGCTATTTGACGAGAGATGGCGTTACTCGTACCGGCGTAACAATACGAATAGAAGTCGTCGTGGCCTAAAGGATAAGACGTCCGGTGCATTCCTGTTGAGCGATGCACCGGTGTTCGAATCTCAGGCGGGTACCAATTTTTCTAATGAAATACGTACTCAGCAATTGTTCTTGATTCGACTTCCACGGTGAAAGTATAACATCGTGTAATAAAAATCAAACCCGCAAATTTTAATTTGCGCAATTACTGGTGGTAGGACCTCTTGTGAGTCCGCACGGGTAGGTACCACCGCGCCTATTTCTGCCGTGAAGCAGTAATGCGTTTCGGTTTGAAGGGCGGGATAGCCGTTGTAACTATATTGAGACCTTAAAACTTCTATGGGCTGCAGTAACCATTTAACGCCAGGTGGGCTCGTCCACCCATGTAAACAATAAAGAAGAAATAGAAAAAAAAATAGTTGAGAGCAGCTGACCTTTCGCGAACTCGAGTCCGGGCAGCATGTGCGTGACGTCACACAGGTGCACGGCGCCCCCGGCCTCCCGCAGCAGCCTCAGCAGCACGGCCTCGTTCTCCAGGGGGTTGAAGGAGCACGTGGAGTACACCAGCCGGCCCCCCGCCGCGAGCAGCGTGCAGCCGCGTCGCAGTATGCGGTACTGCACGCTGAGGTAGGTATCGTATTAATAAGCATCATTAGATAGGAAAATCCTATGTTAGTTTAATGGACAATTTACATGTCTGTGCTTATTTTTTTATTTTTATATTTATAGCTTAGATGGGTGGACGAGCTCACAGCCCACCTGGTGTTAAGTGGTTACTGGAGCCCATAGGCATCTACAACGTAAACACACCTTGAGATATAAGTTCTAAAGTCTCATGTATAGTTACAACGGTTGCCCCGCCCTTCAAAACGAAACGCATTACTGCTTCACGGCAAAAATAGACAGGGTGGTGGTACCTAACCGTTCGGACTCACAAGAGGTCCTACCACCTGTAAAATGATTAAAGTTGAGTAACTTATGAAGAACTTATGAACTTATGAGTTCACGCACACACACAGCCCACAAATATTTATATTGGATTTTTTTGCTTAATTGTATTTTTACTATATATTATGTAATAACTACTTATTTATTTATAACTTTATATACTAGATAGTATAAAGGCGATATTAATGCCATAGGCATTCTCTGACAGTCTACCTTAGGGGGGTAGTAGTTGTGTGGTGTTAATCCATAATTGGCTTATTTTAGGGGTGTTCAATTAATTGCAACCTTTTAAAATTACATGAGCATTTGGTTAGATGTATAAATAAACGGACCCGTGTAAATTATTGCCGTTGCCCGTGGACCACTTGAGCCAAATATCCGGGTTCTTGCGTAGTGTCGCGTCGCCGGAGCACGGTACGTCGCACAATATCCGGTCGAACTTCAAGGGCTTTGTTTTGCTTGGATCCTAAAAATGAAAATACATTTTTATAAAAAAAAAATTGTCTTTTGTCTGGTTCTATCTATCTCTTTGTGTTTTATAGATTTATGAACCATTTATAAGATTCGTGTTATAAGGGTTATTGATTTTTTTAAAGTTATTGTTACGGTAACGTTAACTTACCGAAAGATGGTACTACAGTCGTTTCAATAAAAGTATGTTTTATTTAACAGCCATAGATACTATTGTCATAGTTATCATCATCATGTTGGACCACTACTGGATCAGTCCACTCACCGCCATGTCTCGAGGCAAATATTTCTGACCAGTGTTGCCAATGAGAACATGCAGCAGTGAAAAGCCATAATTCCAATCAACTCAATCTTACTCATCAAGATAAGTGATTGTTTAAGAACGGAGATTGCATACCTGTTCATCGGTTACTTCAATGGAAGGCATGAAAGCAGAGTCGTGGTTCGTGATCACTATGCAGGGTGAGTTGAGGCGCTTGGCCTGATGTACCAACATGTAGCATCGGCTGTTGTCTACGTCGTTTGCCATCACAAAACCTGAAGAATAATTAATGTATCAATGGACGAAATGAGGCACGTAGAAAGCCTGTCGCATTAAACGACTCTCCTACTCTCTTACACCCCACGTTCGATCTCTGCCCAGAGTCAGAACCCGGTCAGAGTAAGGGGGATTCGTGGGCAACACTACATCCAGACTTGAGGCAGATAAAAACAGCTTATCATGATTCTATGGCGGTCTCGATTTAGTTTTCATTTGTAACTAGAGTGAGGTCTTATTGAAACTGAGTGACAGTCAGGTTTTTCACATGCAATTCACAGGTGAGATGCTCTGGGTGAATATATATTTATATAAAATAGCAGACAGTTCAATGTAATTGAGTACAAGACAGTTATGGAAAATATTTTAAACAAACCTGTAGGCATTTTATCTTCATCTGCATGTAGGAATTCTATGAGTTGTGCGGTCTTAGACCCCGGGGCAGCACACATGTCAAGCACCTGCATACAAAAAGTATAGTTTGGTAAACATTTCAAAAGAAATCAATAAATTTACTTATGCACTTTCTATAACCTTCCATACCTTATGGTGAGGTTTCACATCTAATACTACGGGAGGTATCATCGACACCTGTTCTTGTCTCGAGACTCCTCCTGCTGCCGTCTCTGCTACAAGAAAGTTATGAAGCCGATACAATGCCTCGTTACGCCTGATATCCATACGGGTGAGCCGTAATTGCCATGCAAAACCTCCAGGGTACCTAAATAATATAAAATTTATTCCATCAATTGATTTAAAAAAGTACCAAGGCAAAAAACTGTCATATCAAATAGTTTTGTTTTCATTTTAATATCAAATTTAATACAAAAATGAATAATTAATTTACCGAAGAAAATTATAATTTGTGTAATTACACAAATAGTAATTACTAGTAGTGGGTAGTGCCACCACTCTGCTTTTCTTTGCCTTGAAGCAGTAATGCATTTCTTTGTGACTTTCAACTCAAGTCTCAAGACGAATTGTGGCATTTATGTTGTTGATGTCCATAGGCTCTGGATATGTTCAGGTAGGCCATGGGCTGCTCTATTTGAATAATAAAAATAAAAATATATTTCTGAACTGATTATTACAAATAAAACATACCAAGGCAAATTAACTGGCTTAATTTCTTCCTCTTCATCTTTTCCATCAATTTTCAATTTTATATTCAGAAGCTGTGAGAAGTAATCACTGTTCACAATCTTCATTAGAGCGTCAGCTTCGCCCTTAGATCCTGTGATACGGAATGCCGTAGGTAGATTCTCTTTGAGAGTTTGCATGAAGACCGGCCACTGCTCTTCTGGGCAGATCTTTTGCATCTTAACATAAATTGTAAATTTTATTATGTAAAAGGGCCAATGAAAACACCATTTCACTCCTATGTTCCAAACGATTTCCCTTTTTATTTATTTCATGTAGTTTAGTAGTAACCATTTATCTGCTTGGATGTAAGCCCTTTTCGGACAGTGTGAATTTAAATAAAATTTAATTTATTTATTTGTTACATTTCATGTGAAATTCACAATGGCGGACTTAATGCCTAAGGCATTCTCTACCAGTTAACCAAAGGTAGTGCAGAGTAAATAGTGGTAGGTGCAATGAATCAATCAATTTAGTAGCAGTTAAAAAAATTTGGAACGAAATTAGTTAAAAAAAAGAGAAGCAGTAGAGGGTTCAATCAGTATTTTCCGGTGACTAGTCTTTTAGATCATCGTGATTTAATGTAATTATGACTGAGATATTCACCTTATAGTATTCTTCGAATGCGGCATTTTCTCGAACAATATCTTCATAAGCCTTTCGATTATCCCCGTTCGGTTTCTCTTGTGGATTTTTCTCCTAAAACGTGAATAAACTGAAACATCAAACACATCTCATAGGTTATCCCATAGTTTTGTTTATTTACTTGCTCCTTGCGGTCACGTTTCCTTTGCGCGAATTTGTTGACGTTCCGATTTTTTCTACCCATCTTAATTGAGAACTAGGAATATTTGTGATAGGATTCTCAAAACTAGTTTAATTCAGCAAAAACGAAGTATTAGGTATCTATTTAAACAACTAAATTCTCAATAATATTTTATCAACACATTTTCAGTTTGACATTGACATTTGACAAAGTGATTCAGTATAGCGATGAGTAATTCGAATAATTTATTTTGAATAACTCGAATAAGACTATTGACTCGTTCATTCGAATCGCTCTTGACCGAAACCGAACTATTTCGTTAACTCGTGTCATACTCGTAGGCAGGTATGTACACGTAGCGCGGGAGGCCACGGTGGTGCGGTGCGTCGCTCAGTCGACTCGGCTTGATTCGACATTCTTTATTTCGCTCTCGCTCTAATACGGAGTCGAAGAATCGTATGAATGAATTCTACAAGTGAGAAAATATGAAAATACACAGTATATTCTAAGAATCACGAGTTGGTTGGATACAATTTGATTCGTTTAACGTACTTACTAGTCTATCACATTTGCAATTCGCCCATCATTTGTGCCATCGGAAGGGCTTTTTTCCAAGGCTGGAATCCTTTCCAATCAAAAACGATGTAACAGAGCATCACAAAGAAGGTAGATCATCGGAGTTCGAATCTCGCAGGCGGGTACCAATTTTTCTAATGAAATATGTAAATATGTACTTAACAAATGTTTACGATTGACACGGTGAAGGAATAACATCGTGTAATAAAAATCAAACCCGCAAAATTATAATTTGCGTAATCACTGGTGGTAGGACATCTTGTGAGTCTGCGCAGATAGGTACCACCGTCCTGCTTATTTCTGCCGTGAAGCAGTAATGCGTTTCGGTTTGAAGGGTGGGACAGCCGTTGTAACTATACTTAAGATTTTAAAACTTCTATCTCAAGGTGGGTGGCGCATTTACGTTGTAGATGTCTATGGGCTCCAGTAACCACTTAACACCAGGTGGGCTGTGAGCTCGTCCACCAATCTAAGCAATAAAAAAAGATTTCGTTCCTAAATTCATATTGTGCAAGAAACGGCTATAATATTACGGTTTTACATAACAATAAAACCGATATTATGTGCCGAGAAGGAAAACATACAGCATTGTATTATGAAGAAGCAGTGTGTACTTAGCTTAGATTCCTTGTCTATGTCCAACCATAGACAGTCAATTTAGTTCCATCTTTAGCCGCTAGGTGCTGCCAGCAAGTATAAAGGGAGCGCCGCCATCTTTGATCTTCATAGTCTTCACCAGGAAGAACTTCCTGCAATGCTGTATGTTTTCCTTCTCGGCACATAATATCGGTTTTATTGTTATGTAAAACCGTAATATTGATGTGCCTTTGGAAAACATACAGCATTGTATTATGAAGACGTGTTTGTTATCTGCTGGTGAAATTATTAAGCACAACGCTATGATGAAATANGACTCAACATCACCTCCAACAGATGACGCGTGATTCATGGCGTCCGATGATAGGATTGGTAAATAATACTCGTAATGATTGCAAAATAACACTCATAGAAACACAAAATAAATATTTTTTGCAATTAATAAGAAGTCGAATAAATATTTGTGGACTTGCGACTTCACAGTACGAAAGTACACAACGCTATGAAGATCAAAGATGGCGGCGCTCCCTTTATACTTGCTGGCAGCACCTAGCGGCTAAAGATGGAACTAAATTGACTGTCTATGGTTGGACATAGACAAGGAATCTAAGCTAAGTACACACTGCTTCTTCATAATACAATGCTGTATGTTTTCCAAAGGCACATCAATGCTGATTTTACCGAAGATGTATAAACCGTATTTATTTAATTCAAAGTTGATTTAACGGGTAATTACTAATTAGAAATAACTTCAGGCTTTATTTTAAAAACATTGTTTTTTTTTTTTGTATTTGATTTTATTATTACTTTTTGTTATTTAAGTGTGCTGATTTTAATCATAATAATAAAAGAGTATTGTCCTTACCTACGTGTTTATAAGCCAATATACCTATAAGTACTCTTTTCCATCACCAAATACCTACCACACTGTTTTTAACTCGAAATTCGTCTCGTCTCGACTCATTCGTAATTTAAACCGAACTGTCAAAATAAACTCTCGCTCGATTAATAATGTAAACGACCTATAACTCGCCAACTCGGCTTGACATGCGGATGACTCGACAGACGAGTACGAATTTGACTATAAAGCTTTCGCAAATTCATCGCACGATTTGATGACTCCGAACGTGACAATTCGAAATAATTCGAGCTGCGATTTGAATCAAGAGTAATTTTAATTCGACCGATTCGAATTGAAAAAATACAATTCGTGTCATCGCTATTCTAATTCAGTACCGGTAAAATGGGGCGATTAGGGACAAATTCCAACTTTATGACCAATTTTAAGGTAGTTGTTGATGTATATAATGCTATATCAGGATCAAAATGATTGAGTCTTGGGGGCATCTTTGTTGTCCAATTTAAAACTATGCAACTAGCATTCCAGTTTAAGCAAAAAAAGCAAAAATAAGTGTAATCCCTATTTACCCGGAAATTGCGGTTAATTGGGACGAAATGAGAAATTTGCTAGGGTTGAGAAATTTGCTACTTGGTTTTAATTTATTTATTTATTTAGTTGCACCAACAAAGTGATCATCAATAAAAGACATTGAAAAACTGACACTCTGAACAAATATTAAATATTTTATTATGTATTACTTAGACATTTTTGTCCACCTTGAGATTTCATTGTTCTTATTACATGTCTGTGCAAAATCGACTTACTTATATTAAATTGCTTAGCTATTTCAACTAAAGACTTATTCCCAATTAGGCAATTGCCCAATTGCTGTTTTTAATATTAAGGGATAATATCTCTTATAAGGCTTTGCACTCTTTGATACGTACACGCGAGGCATATCTAAAAATAGAAAACAATACGTAACTGATAATATAAATATTTACCAAACAATAAAATAACACATTGATAATTTTGAATAAAAGTTCTAGACAAAAACGTCATGAATAAACCAGATTTTTACCAATAAATTTAAAAAATGTTGTTATAACTACATAGAAAACCCTAGAAACCTGTACCTATTTATACTTAGGTCGTTTTCATTTCACGTATTCTCATCCCAATTGACCCCTTTTTCGTTGTTATTTGTACCTAAGACGTCCCCAATATCCCCAAAAACAACAGATTTTTACATGTGTTTTTATTTTATCAAATACATAAAAACCAATAACAACTGAGACTTACCTTTAATATATATGATGGTTCAAACACTAAATAACGTTTATAAATCACAGTCGTCTTCTATTATTATCAAATAAATAAAAGAGAGCAAAGTTTCTAGCACTAAAATAATGACCACCACAGAAAGTTAATTTGAAACGCGATTTTTTATAAGTTAGCAGCTAATATCATGCATATTCAGAGTTGTTTTGTAAACTTTCAACATTCTACTATTAAACTACAAAAAATGGAAGATTTTGCAACGAATATAAAACTAATATTGAGTGTCGAAAGATTTTCCCGGTTTTTTCCCGATTCGCCTCTCAATCCCTAATCGCCCCATTTTACGGTAGTAGTAGTTTTATTTTTTCAACTGGAATGGCCTAAGTGTCATATCATACAGCCAATCTTGTTTATATAATATATATTTTGAACAATGATAATATGAAGTGAAATGAAATGAAGTTGATTAGTATGAAATATGGCATGAAATGTCGCTTCAACTGACAGAATGCTTTTTCTATTTTATATATATCACAAATTAAAAAACGCCTTTCTTTTTTTCTAGGGGATTTTATGACCTGGTAACCAAAATCTTTAGGTCAAGTCTTATTTTAATAAATCCTATAAATGAAGTGAAATGAAACGAAGTTAATTAATATCAAACACGGCATGAAATGAGATGAGATGAGATGATATGGCATGAAATATGATCTCAGTAAAATGGTGCTCATTTACTGATATTTTTTCGGTGGACTTTTTGGAGGACCCCGAGAAGTTTTGTCCAGTGGCTTTGTTTCATTTTTTCACATTTGTACACTTTCACAGTTGATGGGAACGCGAGGAGTGAAGTTGTGTTATTTGTTTTATTTTGTCTACCTATTTAGTGTTTCTTCAGGCTTAAATGCATTATAATGGTGGTTTATTAGCTGTCTAATATCTGTGAAAGTGCACAAATGTGGGAAAATGAAACAAAGCCGCTGGACTTAACTTCTCGGGATCCTCCAAAAAGTCAATTAAAAAAATCTGAGTAAATGACCATTATTTTACTGAGTTTATATTTTATCCCATCTCATTTAATTTAATTTCATCCTAGTTGATTAATGTCTCAAATCAATTATCTTCATTTCATTTCACTCCATATTAGTATTTTTCATAAAAATAAGAATATAAATTATAATAAGAGATGACCTAAAGGTCTTAGTTACCAGTCACTTAAAAAAATTTAGTAGAGGCAGATAAAGTTCTATGAGAAGTTATTCATATTAATTGGAGTTAAGTAGGTATTACTTATCAGTATTTAAAGTATACCTTATCAGTAACTTTAGAAATGGGAGTCAATAAATAGGTACAATTGAGAATTTGATCTCATGCATAGACAATACACTTAATGCTTTAAGAATCTGATGTCTCCAGTTTTGCGCATTGAGGTGTCTATGGTACGGAGGCCACTTAACATCACCCGACAAGTCTATTAATTGCTTCATCAATGGAAAACTTCTATGCATAAGATTACGTATTACTTGAAAACCCTATAATCATTGCTGCTTTTTTGTAAATAAATATCTACTTTTTAAAAGACATAAACATCATGGAATATTTGAGAAAAACACGGATCTTAGAATCTTGTTAAGCCTGGAATCTACAAGTGTAATCACTGTGTTATCATCTTCACAATCTGAGGTTATCTTCCTAATTTTGTATGAATTTTTCAAACATTCAAGATTTTTGTCTAATCAAGTTGCTTAGTGTTTTGTAAAAACATGTTCTTCAGAGTCTATTAAATTGCCAATGGTTTAAAACAGCTGTACTGGTACATCAATGGGCTAACACGAACATTATAACAATATTTAAGATAGGTAATATTTACAAAAGCCCAAGGAAAAATACTTGATAAATACACCACATTTTTTAGTGAGAGGCATGATATTATGAGCTTTACCACAAAACCATAAGGAGCATTGTTGCTTCAAACAATCAAAAATTTGAACTTGTCAAGCAATTACAGTCGATAAGTACTTGCAATTAAGTTTATTTTTATATAGTTTTGTTATAAGATGGCAGATCATAGGTATTAACGTTTATTGACTCTTATTTAGTAAAATGATAAATTCATTGAATGTTCAGTTAGATCTTTGATAATGTCTGTTCGTAACTAAAGTAGTTTATCTTGTAACTATACACAATAGTATCTCTGTATCTGTTGACGAAGTTTCAAGAAATTAGAAAGATTTGAAGGTAATAATTAGAGTTGTAATATTATTTTGTATTAAGATGTATTAAAATTTTGAGAATTTAAGGTGTACTCTGATAAATCATTAATCTCCTTGCTTCAGATAGTCTTTCCATTATTTTTCATTACATCTTGTCAATCGAAGGCCCAGTTTTATCCAAGGAGAGTTTCTAACTTTTACTTTTGCAAGGTCGGCCCTGATCTATTGTCGACAATGTTTAAATTAAGACTTGCATAACAATATATTCATATAAAATTATTAATTATATTAAACAATTATATTTAACAACTATACTGTATGAAACAACTTTAATTTTAAATACTTTGTTATAGCCAACAATACATGAAGCAGTTTTTCTGATTAAGTCTGATAATATAACTCTAATGAAGTTGTAACGAAAAATATTTTAATAAGGTCAGATATGTTTTAATACCTTACTGGTATATATTAAATGCATGCAAGTAGTGTATGTACATAATGTATAATAAAGAAAATCATATTTAAAACTTCTTTATAGCATAAACAATGGGCAAAAGATTCCAGTTTGCAATAGACCGTGGAGGTACTTTTACGGATGTGTATGCACGATGCCCTAATGGAAAGGTGCGTGTCATGAAGCTGTTGTCTGTTGATCCTCAGAACTATTCTGATGCTCCCAGGGAAGCAATAAGAAGGATATTACAAGAAGTAAGAAAAGATTTATCGGTCATTCACTTGTTCCATAGTCATTATTCAGTCATAGACAATCTTTTGTTTTTTTTTTTGTTTTGTAGGAAACTGGCAATGCATTAGACAAAGATGGCAAAGTCAACTCTGCCTTAATAGAATCTATTCGTATGGGTACCACAGTTGCCACAAACGCTTTGCTGGAAAGGAAAGGAGCTGCAATGGCCCTGGTCATTAACAAGGGCTTCAAAGATTTACTTTACATCGGAAACCAGGCGAGGCCGAATATATTTCAACTGGTAATTGTGATACTTATTCTATGGTGCAGCAATTAGTGCCCCTTGTTACTGGGCTCAGGGTCGTGGGTTCGATTACCGTATCGGGAAAATATTCCATTTATGATTTGTGTGTTGTTTGTCTGGGTATTTAATATCCATATATGTATAAATTTATTCATATAAAATTATGTATATCAGGCTTTAGTTCCTATAATACAGAGAAACCCAGTTTGGGGCCGGATGATTGTTATTGTTATTATTATGACCTTTCAAGGCTTTCTTAGTTCAGGATAGCGGAGCGATCAGTTCTTCTTGACGGGTTGATGAATAACTACTAAAACTAAGCTTGGAATCTACATTGATGATAATATTATCATGTAATAATGATAGTAAACGGTTTTTGAAGAAAGCTGACACTTGCCTTAGGCTTGTTGCTAATACAATCAAGGATGTCGACGAGACAGCATAGCTCTACCGCCATCTTGCCTATTTCTGCCGCAGTGCAATCATGTGCTATGCTTCGTAGGTTCAGATTGTTGATAGGACCTTTTGTTTAAGGCTGCGTGATGAAATTTGGTAGCTATATTAGGTTAATCAATTAGCATCAGGTCGGTTGATAAGCACTTAGGTCAAACGATCGACATGGTTTTATGACTGTAAAACAGATAAGTTGATCAACTATTAAAATTCTATCCAGAACATCAAACGTCCAGAGGTCTTGTATAAAGAGGTGGTAGAGGTAGATTGTAGAGTGATACCAGCGCTAGAAGACCGATGTCAGTTGGACAAGGCTGGGAAAAATTGGAAGGAAGTGTATGGAACCACCGGTGAAAAGATGCTAGTTATCAAAGACATAGACGAAGATGCAGTCAGAGTAGACTTGCAGGCGTTGAAAGAAAAGGGGATAGAGAGTATTGCTGTAGTCTTAGCGCATAGTTACACATACCACGACCACGAGATAAGAGTGGGGAAGATAGCCGAAAGCTTAGGTGAGTAGTCATCGTTTGATTATTCCAAATTACATGGCATGGCAAAATTTAGATTACTGGTAGTAAGACTTCTTGTGAGTCCGCACGGGTAGGTACCACCACCTTATCTATTTCTGCCGTGAAGCAGCAATGCGTTTCGGTTTGTAGGGTGGGACAGTCGTGGTAACTATACCTGAGACCTTAGAACTTATATCTCAAGGTGAGCGGCGCCATTTACGTTGTAGTTGTCTATGGGCTCCAGTAACCACTTGCAATAAATAAAAAACTTCTACTAAAAATCTTATTAATTTGGGGGAATTCCGCAAACAGTATTTCCTTAATAAAGTGATTTTGATAAAAGTTACCATTGTTTGTGATATGTTTAAATTCTCTAAAGGGTCGAAAGATTACTTTACCTTACTTTTTTTTTCTATATATTTCTGCTACTAAGGTTTCACTCAAGTATCATTATCGCATGCTGTAACGTCCATGGTGCGCATGGTGCCGCGAGGGTTCACGGCTTCAGCTGACGCGTACCTGACTCCTCACATCCGGGAGTACGTGAGGAGTTTCTCGGACGGCTTCACCGATTCTCTGAAGGACGCCAACGTGCTGTTTATGCAATCTGACGGTGGATTGACTCCTATGAATTTGTGAGTTTAGTTTTGTTAAATTTCAAACTTTATTGGTAAATGATTAGAGAGATTTGGTTGTTAAAATTATAAATATATAAAATGAGCGATTGTTTGTTCGTAATATATATATATATATTTTTTTTATTGCTTAGATGGGTGGACGAGCTCACAGCCCACCTGGTGTTAAGTGGTTACTGGAGCCCATAGACATCCACAACGTAAATGCGCCACCCACCTTGAGATACAAGTTCTAAGGTCTCAAGTATAGTTACAACGGCTGCCCCACCTTTCAAACCGAAACGCATTACTGCTTCACGGCAGAAATAGGCAGGGTGGTGGTANGTGTTAAGTGGTTACTGGAGCCCATAGACATCCACAACGTAAATGCGCCACCCACCTTGAGATACAAGTTCTAAGGTCTCAAGTATAGTTACAACGGCTGCCCCACCTTTCAAACCGAAACGCATTACTGCTTCACGGCAGAAATAGGCAGGGTGGTGGTACCCACCCGCGCGGACTCACAAGAGGTCCTACCACCAGTAAATATACAATTTACATATACTCGATCTAATCGATTTGAAGGTTACATTTATTGGCGTTTTAGTTAATTTCAGGCGTAGTACCATTAACGTGTGACAGAAGGCGTACCCGTAGCTTACAAATAGTTTTTTTTCATGCACAACAGTCATAGTAGTTAGTCGTTGGCTTTGACTGATTTGTACCAAAAGAATTACATTGTCTATTCCTAGTTCCATTTTCCACCACCCTATTCAAAGCAAACTAGTTGGCAATTGATTCTTATTGAGTAAGAATGTCATGTTAACAAACAAACCTATCTGAAGATTGGTTTACACAGGTGTTACACAGGGCAATACATTTTTTTTATTGGTCAATATCCTCAATATTAGGAGGTAGGTTCATCGAAGGAATTGACCGGAATGTCCAACATGTGCACTGAGGCTTAGTACTGACGTCACTCAGAGGCGGCTTAAACTAAGTCAATATCACCGGGAAGGTCACGTATAGATTGCGCAAATAATACTGTAATGAGTTTTTCATACTCTGTAGATTCAACGGCTCGCGCGCCATCCTCTCTGGGCCAGCTGGAGGCGTGATTGGTTACGCTATGACTTCGTACCAGAAAGAAACCGGCCTGCCGGTCATAGGTAGGTATGGGGAAACATCTTTCTCCACCACTGCGGCTCATTTTCATTGAGTTTCCAAAGATGCATGGATTAGAAAGAGTCCTTTTCGGCAATCGCTTGGTTACGGGTTGTCAGCGTTCATGGCAGCAGCCACTCTCACTCGTTCAATAACCTGCTGCCGATGGGGTTGTGGCGGGTGGCTGTCACAAAACACAAGATATTTGACATGGGATTGACAAACATGGGATTTAGTACATTTCAACTGAAACACGACCACCACACCACCCTTGAAGGAGGTTTCTTTGAAGGAGGACTTTGCCATAAATAACGGTAAACCTCGGCAAAATAGTATCCATAGACACTATTTGAAATGTTGAAACTGCTTAACCACTGCAATATAAATACCAGTGTTGCAGGCACTAGAGTCTATTGTCGCTGTGATGGGTAAGCATACAACGGTAACATACAACACACAAGATATTTGACAGATGCTTGAATCTCGCTTACGATATTGTTAAGTTAAGCTTGCATATATACAAGTTCCGAATACCAACATTTGGACCGTCGGTCTACCGAGCAATATCGTCCGCTCGGTGGAAGATCTTCCCTTTATCGTATACCTCCACAGTATAAACTGGGTGTTAGGAGACTGTTTCCGAAAACGAAAATTTTGTACCTACAAAGTTGTAAATTTTCTGGGAGCGTGGTATCAGCCCCGCGTAGGTGTGCGTGTAAAAGAAAAGCCGCGGCCGGGCGTTCGTTGACCCGATCATCAGCTGTTTTTGATTTTGTGTTTCATTGCTGGTTTTTTTTTAAGTAAAGTAATGTATTTTTTAATAAGCTATTGATTAATTTAATTGTACTAACATGATGCAGCGTAAATAATGGTAATAAAACGTTTTAAAAATATGACATTTTTTTAAATCAAAATCGTTTTTATTTCCCGTCCCATAAATAATCAAAGGTGTTATTAGTACTATCGTCTGTCTGTATAAGTTATATTACTGTCATGCCAATCCGGATCGCGTGGTGCGCGACCTGCCTCGCCCTCTGCAGATCACAAGACGAAACGCCTAACCGCAGTGCGTCGTCTGCTTAATTTCCTTGAAGGTTTCGACATGGGCGGCACCTCCACGGACGTGTCGCGGTACGCGGGCTCGTTGGAGCACGTTCATGAGGCCACCACGGCTGGCGTCACGATACAAGCGCCACAGCTAGGTAAGGCCTCACTTATCTCACCCCGTGGATGACGTATGGCGATTTAGGGATTCACCAGAGAATTCGTCCAAAGGGAAAGGTCCACCAGGACCAAAGGGTTCTTCGAGTATCATACCAGCGAACTTTGACCGCCTAATTGTTGGTTGGTAAGCTACCACCAATCAGCCCATTCCTTTATTTTGTACCGCTTTAAAGAGTGGAGCAACTGTTACCCCATAAAATTAGGACGTAGACCTCATGTCTCATGGTGGCGTTCATGTAGTGTTGTCTATGGACTGCGGTGACCACTTTACACCGCGTGCACCGTAGAATAAAAAAATATAATATTTAAGCGACAATTTCCCGATTACATACAACATATACAACTATACGTTAATGTCAAATCATCCAAAAAAAAACGGGTGTTAAAATGCATTGTTTTTGGTTTAGACTGGTGTATTGTGTTTCAGACATAAACACAGTGGCAGCGGGCGGCGGGTCCATGTTGTTCTTCCGGTCGGGCCTGTTCGTGGCGGGGCCGGAGTCCGCGGGCGCCGAGCCGGGCCCCGCTTGCTATCGGAAGGGCGGACCGCTTGCCGTCACTGACGCTAATCTGTTGTTAGGTAGTGGAACTTTTAGTATTTTATACACAGAACACTTTACCTTCGTCTATCTATTAGCCAGCAATATATTTTTAGCCAATGTTTGATGAGATAATATTTAAGTTGTCTTCTTGATTATAGACATGTTTTGATTATGACAATACTCACGATTGACTTCCACGGTGAAGGAATAACATCGTGTAATAAAAATCAAACCAGCAAAATTATAATTTGCGGAATTGCTGGTGGTAGGACCTCTTGTGAGTCCGCGCGGGTAGGTACCACCGCCCTGCCTATTTCTACTGTGTAGCAGTAATGCGTTTCGGTTTGAAGGGTGGGGCAGCCGTTGTAACTATACTTGGAACCATATAACTTATATCTCAAGGTTGGTGGCGCATTTGCGTCGTGGATATCTATGGGCTCCAGTAACCACTTAACACCAGGTGGGTTGTGAGCTCTTCCACCCATCTAAGCAATAAAAAAAAGACATAGGTTACACTCTGTAATTGTTGCAGTTTGTTTATCGAGTTCCGATTTCATCATCTGGAATAGTTTTGTCATATCCTCTGACATTTTGATCGAAGCAATTCTGATGTAAACAACTGTTTTGGTTTGTGTAGATTGGAACGTAATTTGTTCGTTGTGTTGGCACCACTGAATGCTGTTGACGTTTTTGACTTTTCAAAGTCGCTGACAGATTCTGCGTTTGATTTAGTTGTCAGTTGATATTTAATTATATCTACCCTCAATGGAAATCTCAAAGTGATATCTGTACCGCAATACAATCGATGTTATCAGGTGTTTTCTTTTAGTTTTTCTTGGTGTTTTCGTCAATCTGCCATTCCAAGTTTTTGTTATTTATATTCGTTGGTTTTCACTGTGGTATGTAATAAAAGAACTCAAGAGGGCATGGAAAGAACTCCATGAATATACAAGTTGGATAAATAACGTAACACATCACAAGAAAAAAAAAACATAAACCGGAAAGAAATGACATACTCCAAACTGCGACCCATTTTTATCGAGAGCTCTACGATGACCAATCAACAGTACCTGCTTTAAGCAAAGAAGAAGAAAAAAAATCAGAAGAACAGGTACCTAGCATACTAATAGATGAAGTCAACAATGCCACAAAATCGCTAAAGAAAAATAAAGCACCAGGGGAAGACAATACTTCTAATGAACTTCTTGTCGAAATGTACCATGCTGTCTCCAATACACTAACCGACCTATTTAACTATATTCTAACAACGGAACATATACCTCACCAATGGACTACATCAACGATTACCTTAATTCCTATGAAAGGCAGAACTGATGATATTTCGAACTATAGACCCATTTGACTAATGTCTAATATTTATAAAATGTTCTCCAAGACAGTACTAGAACGATCAACAAAGACTCTGGACGAAAATCAGCCAAAAGAACAGGCAGGGTTCAGAAGTGGCTTCTCTACTATCGACCATATACATACTATAAAACAAATAATCCAAAAATGTAATGAATATAACGACAACTATTATTTAGCGTTTATAGATTATAATAAAGCATTTGACTTGCTAAAACATCAGAAAATATGGGAAGCTCTTGCTTTACAAGGAATCCATAATAAGTAGATCCGTCTATTGAAAATATAGGATGGAAAAGGTACTGGGTATTAAAAGGTGTCATGAAGAAAACATTTAATAGATGCATTCTTCCAAGTATGACATATGGCTGCCAAACATGGGGATTGACAAATAAGAACATAAATCTTTAGAAATTTGTCAACACCAATGGAAAGAAGTATGTTAAATATGAAATTAAAAGATAAAATACGGTTAACAAAAATAAGAAAACAAAAAAAAACCATAGATATACGGAATAAAACAATTGAAATGGAAATGGACCGGACATTTAATACGTAACAGAAGGGTGTCCCAAGATGTGAAAAGCGAAATAGAGGCAGACAACAAAGCAGATGGGAATATGACATCAAAAAAGTGGCAGGAACGAATTGGATGAACCTGGATGATTGGCTGGACATGTTGCACGCCTTCAGAACCAGTGATGGATAAAAAGGTAACAATATGGACGGGCCCACTAGGAAAAAGAAAGAGGGGAAGACCATATCCTATATGGGGAGACGATATAAAAAAAGTAGCAACTATAAACTGGGTTAAAATTGCGCAATCTAGAGAAGATTGGCTATCCTTGGAGGAGGCCTTTACCCGAGGACTGGGGTTCTTGCAAGTGGGAAATAATACCTAATATTATTCAACAAACATATTATTTATCAGTTAATTAATAGCATAGATCACATTGCATTAATTTTTGTTTTTATGTCACATGTACGAAATAAAAGGCTTTTTTATTTTATTCATTTATTTATATCGCGTTAGTGACTTAGTTATTAAAATAAATAAAAATGTAACTTAAATTAGATTATTAATAAAGGCTATCTTATATCTATAATCGTAACATTCGTCATGGAGTTAATGTCGGTACCAGCAACTATGCTGTACATTGCGTTTTCAGTATACTCCGAGATAACACTATACAGTCTTGAATTGAACTTTTAAACAATGTTACAATGGTAGTTTATCCCGTCTATTTGTCACCTGACTTTACGTATATCTTCAGATAGGGTTTGAAAGTCTGATTCCATAGCTGTAGCTAGCAGTAAGTGGTGGTAGGGCGCTGTACTGTAAATCTGAGACTTAGTACTCATATCTTAAGGTAGATGACGGTGGTTACTTCGTTTTGGCTTCTGTAACCACTACACATCAGATGGCCCTTGAGCCCGTTGAAAAAAAAACATTTGAAATTACCCTAAAAAAGTTTCTCATTCCAACAGGTCGTCTGCTGCCTGAATACTTCCCGAAGATCTTCGGTCCCGATGAGAACGAGCCCCTGGACCGAGCCGCGACAGTGACGGCCTTCGAGAAAATGACAGAAGATATTAATGCGTTCTTGAAACAAGATGGCGGTAACGAGGTGAATAGTTTTTTTTTCTTAAGCTTTACTAATAATATATCGTCTTTTCGCATTAAAAGTGTACAATTTCCAAAAATATTCCAAATTGAGTTAATATGCGTAAATATTTGGTATCACCAGTATTTTTCTCATAAATACTGTTAAAAGAGCCTATATAGTTTAGTTTTTTTTTTGTTTACCTATGTTTTGACTACTATTAACAAAGTTAATGCATAATTTTATCTTACTTTAAAAGACAGATAAGGTATGTGATAAAAAAAAAATTGCAAAGATGATTAATATTAAAAATATCACATGTTAAACCTTTAAAACACTCTCCTGTAAAATTAGTAAGTTTTGAGATTATCTATATATTAATTACTAGCGACCCGCCCTCGCTTCGCTTCGGAAACATTAAAACAAACATGAAACCAAAAAAAAAAAAAAAAAAAGTAGCCTATGTTCATCAGGGACAATGTCGGCTTCTAATGGAAAAAGAATTTTTCAAATCGGTCCAGTAATTTCGGAGCCTATTCGAAACAAACAAACAAACAAATCTTTCCTCTTTATAATATTAGTATAGAATACGTGAAGCAAAAACTTTGTATCCCTTTTTACGAAAATTGCGCGGACGGAGGAGTATGAAATTTTCCACACTTATAGAGAATATAGAGAAGAAGTGCACAATGCTAATATTTTTTTAAAATAATGCATAAAAGATACATTAAATCAATAAAGAAAACATTACACACACTACATACCATATATTTGACGCACACACGCATGCATACTATTTATTGTCAAACTTTTGTTCTTGACGTCTGTTGTCAAATTGAGAATNACACTTATAGAGAATATAGAGAAGAAGTGCACAATGCTAATATTTTTTTAAAATAATGCATAAAAGATACATTAAATCAATAAAGAAAACATTACACACACTACATACCATATATTTGACGCACACACGCATGCATACTATTTATTGTCAAACTTTTGTTCTTGACGTCTGTTGTCAAATTGAGAATAGATTAAATATTGTTTGTCTTTATTAATATTTTTTATAGTGTAGCCTTGGCGAAATTTGTGATTATAGAAGTATAAAACACAATCATAATAGTGTAAAAACTTACAATTCCAATTAATTATAGTCGAATTTCGACTACTGCGGGACCACTAGTACAGTTTTAATGCGAGAAGACGATATGACGGTGCATCGTCACTGCTTAGGATTAGTTAAAGTCAACTGTTTTCTTAAAAATAGTAAATAATTGCTTAAGACGGTATTGAAGAGAATTCATCACTAAGTTATCGCCACTGTTACACACGCCACATATAAATACTTTTTTTTTTAATAAAGTTATAGTACAAATACAAATGGAAATTAACCTTATAATTTATTTTGTAAGCTTTTGAAAGAGCTGAATTCTGTACTAGGTTCAAAGGCCTGTCTTACTGATATCCAGGCTCCCTCCTTCTTAAGATAGATTAGGTTAGGTTAAGTCGTGAACAGATGCTGCGGACTAGTGTTGAGAGGTCATTAGGTGTTATCATTTAAGAAGGTCATAAGGAAATACGAGTGACTATTGTCGCGCAAAACATTATAGCTCAAGCAGCGTCGTCATGATTTGTCGTCAGTCTTGTTATCAGATGCCCATGTCATCATTTGTAAAAACAATGGGGCGTCAGTCGCTGACGTTATCAGTCACTTCGTCAAACCTCCGAGACCGTCCTAGATCCTCCGAGAACCTACTAAGCCCTCAGAGACCCTCCCAACCTCTGAGAAACCACTAAACCTTCCGAGAACTGCACAAGAAGTTCTGGCAAGTGACTGACCGGATCGCTATTATTACGTATTGATAAAGACATTGAAAACGTTTTTTTTAAACAGATGACAACTGAAGAAGTAGCAATGGGTTTTATCAATGTTGCCAACGAAGCCATGTGTCGTCCTATTAGGTGAGATTTTTTCAGTAAACGATTAATTCAATTTTCAAAGTCAGTATTCGTTGAGCGCAATGCAAAGCAAAGTCAGTATTCGTTGAGCGCAATGTAAAGCAAAGTCAGTATTCATTGAGCGTAATGCAAAGCAAAGTCAGTATTCGTTGAGCGCAATGCAAACCAAAATCAGTATTCGTTGAGCGCAATGTAAAGCAAAGTCAGTATTCGTTGAGCGCAATGTAAAGCAAAGTTAGTATTCGTTGAGCGCAATGCAAAGCAAAGTCAGTATTCGTTGAGCGCAATGCAAAGCAAAGTCAGTATTCGTTGAGCGCAATGTAAAGCAAAGTCAGTATTCGTTGAGTGTAATGTAAAGCAAAGTCAGTATACGTTGAGCGTAATGTAAAGCAAAGTCAGTATTTCTTGAGCGTAATGTAAAGCAAAGTCAGTGTACGTTGAGCGGAATGTAAAGTAAAGCCATTATACGTTGAGCGCAATATAAAGCAAAGTCAGTGTTCGTTGAGCGCAATGTACAGCTGTGGCGGGTAGCCATCATATAACGCAAGATAATTGACAGATGCCTGAATCTCGCTTACGACATTTACAAGATAAGCTTGCATATATACAAGTTCCGAACAACAACATTCGGACCGTCGGTCTACCGAGCAATATCACCCGCTCGGTGGAAAATCTTCCCTCCGTCGTTAAGTATCCCAAACTGCTGCGCGTGTATCATGTCGGGGTCACCGGGGCTACCCGCCACACAGTAAAGTCGGTATTCGTTGGGGCCGCGCTGGCGTGCACATTGTCGCTAACGGGGTGGGGGCGGGTGCGCGCAGGGCGCTGACGACGGCGCGCGGTCACGACGCGGCGCAGCACGCGCTGGCGTGCTTCGGCGGCGCGGGCGGCCAGCACGCCTGCTCCGTGGCGCGGCGCCTGGGCATCTCCACTGTGCTCATACATAAATACGCAGGTATGGACAAACGTATTCCCCTTCAACTTTAATTCTTTTTAAACTGACTCGTATCCTTATCTATGTTTGCCTATAAGACAGAAACAAACAATAATTACCCCTCAAAAGTGATCTTAAGAAATCAATCTTCTTCTTCTTTTTATGAATAATAAAAAATGTATTACCGAAAATAACTTTTACGCGACTTTTTTAATGACGCCTACCCGCATATAAAAGTAGCAAAAAGGTTAAATGAACAAAACTATAATACCGTAAAATGGTCGCGTCTTTATATATTATTGTGGCGGGTAGCCATCATACACCACAAGATATTTGACAGATGCCTGAATCTCGCTTACGACATTTTCTACGACAGCTATAGCTGTCTTTCTTCGTCCATCGCAAGTTGATACGGACGGGGCGTTTCAGACCTCGTTCCACAATGGCGGCAGTGTACATGTTTCTATGATCAGGTATCCTGTCGGCATACGGTATGGCCCTGGCCCACATAGTGCACGAGGCGCAGGAGCCCAGCGCGTGCCTGTATAGCCCAGAGAACTACCAGCAGCTCGACCGCAAGTTGGATGTGCTATCTGCTGTTTGTAAGGATAAGCTGTTAGCTCAGGTGCGTGTATTCGTGTATAACAGCCTTTCCCAAAGTGGGCGATAACGCCCCCTTGTGGGCGCTGTAGGCCTAAAGGGGGGCGGTAAGAGACCCAGAAAAAAAAGGAGGCGTTGTGTAGAGGCTTGGGAGGCGATTTGTAATTTCATCTAGGAGGACTCTTAGACGCCGACTGAGCGCTCGCTATAGTGGTTTTTAAGTTGGTGAAAAAATGGAGGCGCTAAAAAATAGTTTATTCTCGAAGTGGGCGTAGACAAAATAAAATTGGGAACCCCTGGTGTATCATAAGAAATAAAATGTCTGTTTGTTTGTCAGTCTGAGGAATGTTATCATTGGCATAAGAGAGTAGTCAGAAAAAGTCCATAAGTCCGCTTTTTACGAATTCATTCATATCATTATTCTCTTGCTCTTCTCTCAGTCACCAATATGTTTTCTTCTTCCATACTCCTCTATCATCTAGCATTTCTTCGTTCACTCCTTTCTTACACATATCGTCTTTCACGCAATCCATCCATTTCTTCTTGAGTCTACCTCTTCTTCTTCCTTTTTTACAAATTTATTATAAAACTAGAAGTACCGCAGCAGTCGAAATTCGACTATAATTAATTGGAATTGTAAGTTTGTACACTATTATGATTGTATTTTATACTTCTATAATCACAAATTAAATATTAGAGTATTTAATTCCAGGGTATACCAGCATCCCGGATAGTTTTAGAGCCCTACTTACATCTCCGGTACGCGGGGACGGACTGCGCGCTCATGGTGTCCCCCCTGCCCGGGGGCTCCGCCACGGCCTGCAGCCACGGGGACTTCTATACGGCCTTCGTGAACAGGTGAGCTTGAGCTTTGATATGGTTCTGATGATTTTTCCTTATAGTTCTTTCTACGCTGGAAGACTGTTCATAGAACAATAGGTAGTTCATTGATAAAAAAGATCGTAGTGATGTAAATGATTATGTAGCTTAGAAAAGTAAATTACAATACAATATTAAAACGGTACAAGGACCTTTTTGGACAGGTGTTAGTGTTTGAGTTCGATACTCCGCATGTTCTGGCCAGTCACTATCACTAATAAAGACCTCTGGACTAAATGTGACCAAACGCCCATCGCGCAAGATCGCGCAAGATCGCTCATCGGAAATGGCGTTGAATAGAATACACTCTGTGGCGCAGCAGAGTCAACGCAGCATCATTCAACACGGCCGTCTGGTGTAGTGGTAAGTGACATGGTCACTACACTAGGGGGTCGCGGGTTCGAATCCCACCAAGGGGAGATATTAGTATGATAAGTATAAATGTCTTTTCCAGGGTTATGGATGTATATTAAATATATGTATGTGTATAATAAAAATCTCACATTTATTTCCGTTATCTGGTACCTGTAACACAAGTTCTTTACGAACTTATCACGGTACCAGTTAACGTGGCGTGATTGTTAGTAAATATATATATTTATTTATTCGCGTTTGAGTGGCAACCGCTTGACAGGAGAAGACCTGGTCGCCCTGTACACACTTGTTGATGTACCGTGGAGAGCGATCAAGGAAAGCCGGCTTGATCTGGAGTGATGTCAAGGAGCCAGCGCAAGACAGGGTCAAGTGGAGACAACTTGTGAGGGTCCTATGTACCAGCGGGGTTCCTTATAACTACAACAACTCTTCAGTCGTTTGCACTCCTAACGGAGCGGTCGTAGTCACAATTTTGGGCGGTGGTGCGTTTCACCAGACGTCGCCATTCCTCGCGTACCGCGGTCATTCTTGTGCGTTCGTTGACGGGACCGTGTAGAGTTTGAAGTTGTCGTGGCCTAAAGGATAAGACGTCCGGTGCATTCGTATCGAGCGATGCACCGGTGTTCGAATCTCGCTGGCGGGTACCAATTTTTCTAATGAAATACGTACCCAACAAATGTTCACGATTGACTTCCACGGTGAAGGAATAAAATCGTGCAGGAAAAATCAAACCCGCAAAATTATAATTTGCGTAATTACTGGTGGTACATCTTCCACCAGAAGATGTACTAAAGAAGATAAGACAGTTAAAATGGCGATGGACAGGACATATGACAAGGGAAAGCAGAATGAAATGGACTAAAATTATAACAGAATGGCAGCCACGTGATGGCAAAAGAAAAAGAGGTAGGCAAGCTAGAAGATGGACAGATGATATAAAGATGATTGGAGGGACAATCTGGTCCAGAAAAGCTAGCAACAGAGAAGAATGGAAGCAGCTGGAAGAGGCCTATGTGTCACAGGACACGCTGATCACTGAACCGGGAAACCCGATGTATTAGATTAGATTTAAGTTAAAACAATTTGCTACTATGTGTAAATATCGTTGTTTAGTATCAGCAATAAAGGATTACAAAAAAAAAAAAAAAATACTGGTGGTAGGACCTCTTGTGAGTCCGCACGGGTAGTTACCACCGCCCCGCCTATTTCTGCCGTAAAGCAGTAATGCGTTTCGGTTTGAAGGGTGGGGCAGCCGTTGTGACTATACTGAGACCTTAGAACTATATCTCAAGATGTGTGGCGCATTTACGTTGTAGATGTCTATGGGCTCCAGTAACCACTTAACACCAGGTGGGCTGTGAGCTCGTCCATGCATTTAAGCAATAAAAAAAAAAAAACTGCCTTTATTTGGTCGGTCCATCTTAACGGTGATCTGCCGCGCGGTCTTGTACCATCTATCATGCCTTGCACCAAAAGGCGCTCAACTGAGCATGTACTCTTGACTTTTTTGATACATTTGACAGACTTGATACTTTTCGGCAATGATGTATTGTATATTAACTTGAGCCGTTTGTTAGATTGTTTGGCGGGAACGCGAGGGGTGAAGTTGTGTGTGTGTGTGGGTGTGTGTTTTTTTTGTCTATTTCGTGTTTCTTCATGTTTGAATGCGCAAGAATGGTGGTTTATTAACTGTTTGGTATCTGTGAAAGTGCACAGATGTGGGAAAATAAAACAAAGCCGCTGGATGTAATTTCTCGGGATCGGTGTCGGGCATAGTAAGCTAAGCGGGGCGGGGTATCGTTCTCCTACAATATTATTATTATTATTAAAATGACTGCAGATACAAAAACGAGTTCGGTTTCACTTTGTCCGAACGGGACGTGCTCGTGGACGACGTCCGCGTGCGGGGCGTCGGGCTCAGCGCCGCGCACGAACACGAGGGGGTGCCCAGCGGGGAGGGCGCGCCGCCCCCCGCCGAGAAGGTAAGCGCGATGTCTGCCGGGCTCCCTACTTGCAGTTCAGTACTATCATCCTGCCTGTTAACATTATGTCTGTACGAGTAACGCCATCTGTCGTCAAAGAACAGAAACCGATATCAAAACTTTCCTGACAAAGTTTCGACTAATATTCGTCAATCATTTCAATTTTATACAGTAGTGCCATCTAGTCTTTAGATACGAAACTTATACTAGAAACACTGATTAAATTATTATTCTAATAATAATATTGTGTGGTGGATTGTAGGTGTCTCTACAAGCCACTGTAGATAGCATCCTCTGGACATATCGATATTATAGTTTGTAGTACAGACAGAAAGCTCGTCAAAACTGACACTTACCTAATATTTTTATAATGTTCCATATTAGATTTAAAATTTAATATTTCATTGAATTCAAAAAAATTTGTCGCCTCTAGCATTTTCAGGGAAAGTTTCCACTCGGTAATCCCTTTATCCCCGAGTAGTTCTGACCTTGGACAAGAGTACCGGGGATTCGTTTAGTGGGTAAATACTATCCTTGAGGTCCGTTCCCAACATTTGCGCATCGTCCAGTCCCCCATACTCCGCACGCTACCTAGGCGCGGGGACCTCGTAAGAGGTACGGCCCTCGACCCAGAAAAATAAGGGAAGGATTCCGGCGCAGCACCATTGACGTACGATAAATGGCGTACTAATATTTTTAACAAGCACATACTTAATATTCCTAGCGCTAGTCACAGTGGAGATCCGTTTTTAGACAGTGAAGGTGTACTTCGAAGGCGGCTACCAGGATACTAAAATATATTTATTGGAGAAGCTATTGGCGGAGCAAGTGGTCCCGGGACCAGCTATTATAATGGATAGCTTGTCGACAATACTTGTCGAGCCTGGTAAGTGTATTGAAACGTTTAGAATATTGGTTTTTTTTTTATGTCTCATGTAACTACTTGCCACAAATAAACCAATCAACGCCAGCCCAGAATACCAAACTAACATAGGTAAGGTAAGGTAACATAAATAACATAAACTGACAAAGTATATACGTAACATACATATTATATTATATATATTTACCTAATAATGTCGTCGTGGCCTAAAGGCTAAGATTTTCGGTGCATTCTTGTCGAGCGACAGGGCACCGAAACTAGCGACATCTTGTTGCGGATGCCCCTTAACTTACACAAGTAAACTTGTGTCGTATCTTTTCAAACATTGGCAAGGTATATAATATATTGTTTTACACATTGGTTTTCGTTTGGGAACCTTTAGGATCCCTTCGTTAGGCATGGACGATGGTCATTTGAAATAGACTAAAACCCACGAATTAATTTAATTTGACAGATTGTCGAGCAGAAATAACAAAGCACGGAGATGTCAAAATCACTATTGGATCTGGGCAAGCGAAGAAAGTTACCACCGCTTTGGATTCCATACAGCTCAGCATATTCTCGCATCGTTTCATGTCTATAGCCGAACAGATGGGCAGGTGAGGTTTATTAATGATATTATTAACTAATATTTTCGAAATATTGACGCTAGAAAGTGTCTATGCTAAATTGTGGTGGGTAGGCAGCGGCTTGGCTCTGCCCCTGGCATTGCCGAAGTCCATAGGCGACGGTAACCACTTATCATCAGGTGAGCCGTGTGCTAGTCCGCCTACAAGGGCAATAAAAAAAAACGATAACCTTTTTTTTAATTGAAATCTAAAAGAATTTTTAATGTATTGTGGACAGTGAAAATAGTTTGTATATTTAACATGCTTCTTACTAGCTCACCTGAACGTAATTAATTCATCTAAGACTTGTAACTAAATTGTAATTATTGCACACGTATCAAGTACCGTTGACAATACGATAGTTCGATCAAACCTAATCAAAATTATTGTTTTGACAACGGTTCGTTCGGTGTCAGGATCACGTGGATAGCACTTTAATTCTTAGTTTGGACCAGCTGTTGAAACTTATCTACGGTAAAAATAAGAAGTATACCCGTCTATGTGGTTCTGATGCTGGAGATATACAACAAAGGGAAGATCTTCCACCGAACGCGTGATATTTGCTCGGTAGACCGACGGTCCGAATGTTGTTGTTCGGAACTTGTATATACGCGAGCTTATCTTGAAAATGTCGTAAGCGAGATTCAAGCAATCTGTCAAATATCTTGTGTGTTGTATGACGGCTACTCGTCATAGAGACAATCGATTCTAGTGCCTGCAACACTGGTATTTATATTGCAATTGCAGTTTCACCATTTCAAATAGCCAATGGACACGATCTGGTCGAGGATTACCGTTATTTGTGTCAAAGTAGATCCTCCCTCTCAAGGGTGGTGCGGTGCCCATGTTTTAGTCGAAATATACTAAATCCCATGTTACTCTCTACCCAAGCATTCTATCCTTGTCTGGATCGGTCCTGAGGGATCAGAGAATCTTAATCAGCACTTCAATCTTAAGTCAAGTCGTTGCTTTTTTCTAAATCAAAAACTAAACTTCTAGAAGTATTCTGCTCATTCTTAATTTAAGTTTTCACGTAATTAAATAAGTCGGCTATCGCACAGCAGGCGATCAGCAAATAGCAGGTCCCATAGACATGGATATTGAAGGTCGAAGTTTCCATTGAATTGACATTTAAAAAAAAAGCCTTGATAGGCTATTTTAGCTTCTCCTTGACGTGTAGCTGAGTTCACTGGGCTCAAACCGGATGTGTTGCTAACACTGGCCCTAGCAAGAGCAGTGCTTCGCAGAATCTACCACCGGATCGGAAACGCGACCCGCTGAGAAGATCCGGCGAGAAACTCAGTGGGCTGTGTCTAGGGGAACGCACGGACTGACCTACCACTAGTACTTAAACGTATGAAATTCTGTTGTTGGTTCTTCATCGTGGAAGTCGTACCAAAACCCCATGTTACTTCTAGAGTACTACAAAGAACATCTATATCGGTGAACATCAAAGAGCGATTGGACTTCTCGTGCGCGCTGTTCGGTCCCACCGGTGGGCTGGTCTCGAACGCTCCCCACATCCCAGTACATTTGGGCGCTATGCAGGAGGCGGTTCAATATCAGGTAGGACCTGATTCGGTAATGCGTGGGTAGGTCGTGTGACGTAAGCACTCTCGTCAATACTTATAACCCTTATTCTAATGTGTTAAGACTTTTATTCTGTGTTTAAAATTGTATGTGTGGCCAGAAACCGTATATCAGATTTAGTAGTGGTAGGACGCTTTGTTATTTCGGACGGGTCAGTACCTCGTAGTGTGAAACAGTCTTGCGTTTCCGTTTGAAAGGTGTTTTTTTATTTTTATTGCCTAGGTGTGTGGACGAGCTCACAGCCCACCTGGTGTTAAGTGGTTACTGGAACCCATAGACATCTACAATGTAAATGCGCCACACACCAAAACAACCGATGACAACCGATATACTCGTATTACGCAATTGAGACTTGGAGCTCATGTCTCAACGTGGCTGGTTGTCCACGTCGTCATGTCTATGAGCTCCGATACCCACAAATCTAGGGTCGTGAGCTCTGCCGTCTAAGCAAAACATAAACTAGGATTTTAGAGCCTTACAGAATGTGTAACATTGCTGGCTTATTGTGTTAATGGCGCAGTGATTGAAAAATGAAAACGCCACGAAGGAATAGAGTTCACGGAGTCATTTCATAGGAAGACCTGGGTCTTACAGCAATTATTCCATAGACTTAGTAGATAATAATATGATCCGTGAAGATTGTAACTTTCAATAATGGAAGGGGGGGATATGACGGAATGTTATATGGTATGATTCTGTGATGTGATTTAATACAGTACTGGTGTTGCGTTGTGGAGAATGAGAGTGGACTGTATTTATTAGTTAGACTGTATTTATCTTTATTAGTTCATAAGTGACAAATTAAAGATATATGAATATATGAAATATGAAATCGATGTGTCGCCCTTGGCGGCTGGAAATGAAAAGGGAAAAGTGTCATAGCGGACGTCGCTCGTTGACACTTTTGACGTTCCGGATTCAAAGAACTGGTAACCGGTAGGGTTGTCCCAGGGCTCTGTCGTGTGAGGAAATAAAAGGGACTCTTTAGAGGAACTAGTCTCAAATACTTCACAGATGAAAGTACGCGGCGATACCCTGCGGCCCGGCGACGTGCTGTTGGCCAACCATCCCAAAGCCGGAGGTTCGCATCTGCCCGACCTCACAGTCATAACGCCGGTCTTCCACGGGTGAGCCGCCTAAAACACAATGTTCTCAATCGCTGTGCTTAAACATGCGTTATTTTATTTATTTATTACGTTGCACCAACAAAGTGATCATCAATAGAAAACATTGACAAAACGACAAAAATTCATGGCAGATGTCACCTCAATTATAGGTGCAATCGAGAGTGCATTAACAACAAAAATAAAAAATTATATAACTAAGCTTTGATTACATTTGATTGATTGCTTAAGATTAATTTATATTTAATTGGGAAATTATCCGCGACAGATTTTTCCTGTAAGATGTGGGACAATTAGAAAAAACATCTTTCATCTCACTTAAAATTAGTTCAGCGCAATCGGACATGGTTTACACAGGAAGTTTTTTAAAGGCTATAGTTTACCAAAATTGAACCACACCCTTCATTCCTTACTAAGATAGGTGTTTTTTGCAAATTTTCATTACGATACGTTTACTGGTGATAGGACGTCTTGCGAGTCCGCGCGGGTGGGTACCACCACCCTGCCTATTTCTGCCGTGAAGCAGTAATGCGTTTCGGTTTGAAGGGTGGGACAGCCGTTGTACTGTTAAAACTGAGACTTCAGAACTCATGTCTCAAGGTGGGTGGCGCCATTTACGTTGAAGATGTCTATGGGCTTCAGTAACCATCTCACACCAGGTGGGCTGTGAGCTCGTCCACCCATCTAAGCAATAAAAAAAATGTATAGATAAAATGTGTGTGTACCTACAACCGTCCCAGGAGCGACCCTCGTCCGATATTCTTCGTGGCGTCCCGCGGGCACCACGCCGACATCGGCGGCCTCACGCCGGGCTCCATGCCGCCGCACTCCGTCAGCCTCACGCAGGAGGGCGCCGCCTTCAAGTCCTTCCTGCTCGTCGACAAGGGCGCTTTCAACGAGAAACTGCTTGTCGAAGGTCACTCATCATTCCCTAGTTGTAGATAAGCGGACGGCTGATTATCGGAGACCATGGAATTCTGTTGACAAATAATAATAATAATAAACAATAACAGAAAAAAATCACAAATATATAGACCTGAAAGAAGAAGTTCGTAGAATATGGAACCAGGAAAAAGCTTACATAGTACCAATAGTCATTTCCACCACAGGCGTTGACCCTAAGCACCCCCACCACAGCCTGATGTTAATTGATCTGAAACCCAACACTTTCATGCAACTACAAAAAGCTGCTATATTAAATACCTGTAGAACTGTTCGTAAGTTTTTAGAAACAGAAGAAAACTCAACTAACGGACATTAAAAATATTGATTCCTTATTATTTACTTGGCTAAGGCCCGTAAATAATAAATACGTACCAGCGAATGCTCAGAAAAAAAAAGTAAAGAACAATAATAATAAAGCCTTTATTCAGACAAAATACATTTTTTTTTTACATATACAATTATTATTTCATTTTATTAGTTTTTTTAATATGTTTTAAGTAGTGGTATTAATATTAACTTAATTTCTATGGAAAAATTGTTTTTTTTTTTAACTAAATTATTATTAATTTTTGTCTGTTGTCTATTATAGACACAGGCCTCCTCCAACCGCCTCCATAAGCTTCTATTTTCAGCTGTTCTGGTCTATGTACTTCCCGCAACTGCCTTAATGTCGTCTACCCATATCCTAAATCGTCTATTGACAAATATTATCCATCATTAACGATACTAAGATACTAATACGATACTAAGATTTTAGTATTGTAAAATCTTAGTATCGTACGCTTCAAACTGGAAAACATGGACGATTTATAGTAATAGCAGGAATAGGCACGGCTGGTGGTACTAATGAAGTCAAAGCGCCCTGCCACCTTCAACACCCCTCATATTACTTCGTTGGTACCGCGGTAAGCGCTCGTAATTCAGCAGTCGATTTGATGACGTCTGCAGAACTGATGAAACCCGGGAACGAGCCCGGCTGTTCCGGGACCAGGAACCTGGCTGACAACCTCTCCGATCTGAAGGCGCAGGTCGCGGCCAATCAAAGGGTGAGTGATTGATGAGCTTCATTACGTGACACGCGTTCATTAGCTTCGTGTGTTTGTGGTTAGCGAAATCTTTGAACGTAATTTTTAACCAATTTCAAGCAGTCAGAATAATTTGAAAATTCGCACACGCATCAAGCATGTACCGATGGCAATGCAGTAATTTTATAATTTCACTCTAATATCCTGATGAGAATTGTTAAAAGATGTAAAATCTTTTTATTTGCATGGCGGCATTGACATTGTAGACGTCTATAGACTCCGGTAATATCTTAACATCAGGTGGACCGTTAGTTCGCCCACCCATCTAAACAATAAAAAATATTTCTTGTTTAAAAAAAAACATTTATTACCTTTCACACTCAATAAAATAAAATACAAACAATGGAAAAGAAAAAATCAAAAGGAGGTGGCTCAGCTAATTCTGTTCAAAATCGATAAATCGAACAGCGCTGATTTTCAGTCACCCCCGTTTCTTTTGAATTCAGATTAAGAAAATTAATTTCAGGGCATACAGCTAGTGGGGGAGTTGATAGAGGAATACGGCCTCGAAGTGGTACAGGCTTACATGGAGCACATACAGAAGAACGCCGAGCTGGCCGTGAGGGACATGCTCAAGGTTAGTGCAAGGTTTTCACTGGTGGTAGGACCTCTTGTGAGTCCGCACGGGTAGGTACCACCGCCCTGCCTATTTCTGCCGTGAAGCAGTAATGCGTTTCGGTTTGAAGGGTGGGGCAGCCGTTGTAACTATACTGAGACCTTAGAACTTATATCTCAAGGTGGGTGGCGACTTGAGGGCCGTTCGGATTGTCGATAATCCCATTCTCACGGATCGTTTGGAACCTCTGGGTCTGCGGAGGGACTTCGGTTCTCTTTGTATTTTGTACCGTATGTTCCATGGGGAGTGCTCTGAGGAATTGTTCGAGATGATACCGGCATCTCGTTTTTACCATCGCACCGCCCGCCACCGGAGTAGAGTTCATCCATACTACCTGGAGCCACTGCGGTCATCCACAGTGCGTTTCCAGAGGTCTTTTTTGCCACGTACCATCCGGCTTTGGAATGAGCTTCCCTCCTCGGTGTTTCCCGAGCGCTATGGCATGTCCTTCTTCAAACGAGGCTTGTGGAGAGTATTAAGCGGTAAGCAGCGGCTTGGCTCTGCCTCTGGCATTGCTGAAGTCCATGGGCGACGGTAACCACTCACCATTAGGTGGGCCGTACGCTCGTCTGCCTACAAAGGCAATTAAAAAAAAGACTAGGAAGGTGGCCACCCCAGTAATTGGTTCGTTGCTTCCGAGCAGGAGATAGCGAGGAGCGCTATTGCGGAGACAGGCTCGGCCGTGCTGTCGGCTGTCGAATACATGGACAACGGCACGCCGATCAGCCTCACCGTGACCCTGGATAAAGACTCCGGGAGCGCCCTGTGTGACTTCACGTGAGTATTCTGTGTTCATAATAGATCTGATGGTTTTGACTGAGTGGTCCATTAAGGCAGAGTCTCAACTTAGCTTTTTTTACTATTGCTTAGATGGGTGGACGAGCTCACAGCCCACCTGGTGTTAAGTGGTTACTGGCGCCCATAGACATCTACGACGTAAATGCGCCACCCACCTTTAGATATAAGTTCTAAGGTTTCAAGTATAGTTACAACGGCTGCCCCACCCTTCAAACCGAAACGCATTACTGCTTCACGGCGGAAATAGGCGGGGTGGTGGTGCCTACCCGCGCGGACTCACAAGACGTCCTACCACCAGTAGCTGGGTGGAAGAGCTCACGGCCAATCGGTGGTGTTAGTTGGAGTTCAACAGCCCATCTTAACAAATGAGATTTAAATATTAGTTCTTTAAGTACAACGGCTTTTTTTTTCCGGGCAGGGGACCGAACCTCATAAATTTCTTCGTTTTGCTTCCAGCGGCACAGGAGTTGAGGTGTGGGGCAACCTGAACGCTCCCCGCGCGATCACCCTGTCGGCCCTCATCTATTGTCTGCGTTGCATGGTGGGCCACGACGTCCCCCTCAACCAGGTTCGGTTCTTTTTTTCATTTATACCGATAGCCTTGAGAAGCTATTTCAGCTTCACCCTAGCGTGTAGTTGAGCTCTAGGGGCTCAAACCGGAGTGTTGCTAACACTGGCCCTAGCAAGAGCCGTGCTTCGCAGAGTCTACCATCGGATCGGAAACGCGATCCACTGAGAAGATCCGGCGAGAAACTCAGTGGGCTGTGTCTGAGGGTTAATTGAGTTAATTCACTCGTCGAGCCCTTCGTCGCAAGCGACGGGTTCGACGAGGACGGTAACCGGGGTTTCGGTAGCTATAGACGTTCTGCCAATAACCAGTGATGCCATCCTGTGCGACAGATGGCGTATGAGTCGCGTAAATAACCGTTATATTATATTTTGGGTCACAACGGAGCGCGTTTTTGTACTTTTTAAACTTTTTATTTATTGCTTAGGTGGGTGGACGAGATCACGGCCCACCTAGTGTGAAGTGGTTACAGGAGCCCATAGACGTCTACAACGTAAATGCCGTCACGCATCTTGAGACATGAGTTGTAAAGTCTCAGTTTTAACAGTACAACCGCTGCCCCACCCTTCAAACCGAAACGCGTTACTGCTTCACGGTAGAAATCGGTTAAACTGTATTGAGCTATTTAAATCAAATTATTGAGTTATGTAACTATATTTGAGACCTTAGAACTTATATCTCAAGGTGGGTGGCGCATTTACGTTGTAGATATCTATGGGCTCCAGTAACCACTTAACACCAGGTGGGTTGTGAGCTCGTCCACCCATCTAAGCAATAAAATAAAAATAAAATCGCAACAGCGCTAAACAAGTTTTCACTTCGAAATTTCGGCTTGCCTCTGGCATTGGCCCCTAGCATTGCTGCAGTCCATGGGTGACAGTAACCATTTATCATCAGATGGGCCGTATGCTCGTCTGCCTACAAAGGCAATAAAAAAAAATAATTAGACCAAATCATGAAGAGTTATGTCCCTTGTCCAGGGTTGCCTCACTCCGGTGAGCGTGGTGATACCCCCGGGCTGCATCTTGGACCCGTCGGAGGGGGCGGCCGTGGTGGGCGGCAACGTGCTCACCTCGCAGCGCATCGTCGACGTCGTGCTCAAGGCTTTTCAGGTGATCCTAACTTTTTTTAAGTATGGCAATAAGTCCCTTGTTGCCGGCCTTTTTTGGCGGGAGCGCGAGGAGTAAAGTTGTGTGATTTGTTTTATTTTGTCTATTTAGTGTTTCTTCAGGTTTAAGACATGATCTAAAGGTCTTAGTTACCAGGTCATAAAATCCCAAAAAAAAATAATACCCTTGTTGCCAGTATCACTCAAGGTGGGTGGCGCATTTACGTTGTGGATGTCTATGGGCTCCAGTAACTACTTAACACCAGGTGGGCTGGTCCACCCATCTAAGCAATAAAAAAAAATATAAAAAAAAATGCCAGCGCTGCGGGAACAGACTCTAACTTGGAGAGTGACCGTCCTATCCTTCAAAATGGCTGCTTACCGAACCGTCCGCACCAGCTTCCTTCTCGTATCTACGCGGGTAGCAGGTGAGCACGCGACTTTGCCTTCTTGAACCTTTTTTTTTGAGTTCCGAACAAATTCAACTCCTATCGCCAATTTTCACTGTCGCAATCTATACTAATATATAAATCTACAGTGGTTTTTACGGATGTTTCGTTATAACTACTGAACCATGTATCCGACTTGAAACTTGGTATCCATGTAGAAAATACATGTACTTAATGGATAGGCAAATATTTATATGAGTGTTGGACTCCCTACACCAGTTGCGGGGGTGTTCATGATGAGAATCTTTGGGGGGGTGAGAAATAATAATGTTAATTTTAAATGCCCAGCGAGGCGGATGGGTACAGCTAGTATATTTTTATTTTACGATATCCAGTTATGTATATGTCGTAGAATGGGCCGATATTTTCGTTATTTCTTGACACAGTGGCAGTTTGGTGGGTAGTCGTGCAAAGAGATTGCGAAGCACGAAGCGATATGATAATCCGAGACGTCTTCACTCTTCCTAAATCATTTATTTATTTATTACAAGGGTTCTCTTTGCAATAAATAAATAACAACCAATTCAACGTAGTATAATAATATAACAATAATAGCAACGAAAAGCTATCAAGAATCCAAGTGTGCTACTATTCACAAACTCGCAGCTCATCACCCCTGTCTCGATAGGCACGGAGTTACAAGCCCGGGCAAAGGGGGGCCCGACAGATTTGTTACTTTGATTAGTATGCAATGTTAGGTGTTAAAAGTCGTGTCGTGACGTCATCAGGTGTGTGCGGCGTCGCAGGGGTGCATGAACAACCTGACTCTAGGGGAGGCCGACTGGGGGTACTACGAGACCGTGGCGGGCGGCAGCGGAGCTGTGAGTTACTTCTGTTTAATGTTTTACTAACTACGACTATTACTCGTCAAGGGGGCCGTGTGCTCGATTACATTGGAAGGCAATAGGCATTTTTTTTTTCATACCTAAGCTGAGAGCTTTGAGAGGCTATTTCAGCGTAGCCTTAACTAGTAGGTGAGCTCACGGGGCTCAAACTTGACGACGTTGCTAACACGAACTTGCAAGAGTCGTGCTTCGCAGAATCTACCACTGGATCGGAAACACGACCCATTGAGAAGATCCGGCGAGAAACTCAGTGGGCTGTGTCTGAGGGCAAGGCGTCTCTTGGAATTATATACCCAGAGACAGAACCCACTGAGTTTCTCACCTGATGTTCTCAGTGGGTCGCGTATCCGATCCGGTGGTAGATTCTGTGAAGCACTGCTCTTGTTAGGGCCAGTGCTAGCAACACACCGGTTTGAGTCCCGAGAGCTCACCTACACGCTAGGGTGAAGCTGAAATAGCCTCTCCAGGTTAAATAGATAACGTTGTCCCCCCCTCTAGGGTCCGGGGTGGGCGGGGCAGGGTGGCGTCCACACGCACATGACCAACACTCGCATCACGGACGTCGAGATCGTGGAGCGTCGGTACCCCATGCTGGTCACCGGGTTCAGCCTCAGAGCCGGCTCGGGCGGTAGAGGTATGCAACTAAAAGTCTATTCGACCGATCTTAGGACTTTTAATGATATTGGCAGTACATCTGTGGCCTTTTGTCTGGTCCAAAAGTGAGATTAAATTACAAAAGGACACTTATACTTAAGGAGAGTAGAAGTAAGGAGATGGTGATCTCAGTGTATTAAAAAGTGTCCACTGAAAGGGAGCAAATTAAGATGGCGCCACTGTAGCAAGTGGAAAGATTTTAAAATCAACGCCATAAACTACCACTTCACTCTTTGCTAAAACTGCTACATTCATACCATGTCCACTAGCGCTATTTCGGTGAGTCTTCAACATTAACTTACTCTTTCCGGGCGGACACTTTTTCAATTTGTCCCTTAAACAAGATGGTGCTCTTTACCTCTATTTTCCATATTGGTACATTACTGACATTGACAGCTAGCATAGTGTTGCCAACTTCCGTTCCCGTTTAAATGTGTAGTAACGGTGGTTTATTTGTTTAACTGTTTAATATCTGTGAAAGTGCATAAATGTGGTAAAAATAAACAAAGCCGCTGAACGTTACTTCTCGGGATCCTCCAAAAGGTCTCAGTATATGACCACTATTTTACTGAGATTATGTTTCATCTCATATCATTTCGTTTAATTTCATGTAAGTTAATAATTGTATCGGCGAATTATGAAAGTCTTACTACTTGACGCTGGCTAATGCACAAACCCTGCCGGAGCCAAAAAATAAAGACGAAGAAATATGGTTATGCGGTGGACTTTTTGGCGGGAACGCGAGGAGTGAAGTTGTGTAATTTGGTTTATTTTGTCTATTTAGTTTTTCTTCAGGTTTAAATGTGTAATAACGGTGGTTTGCTAACTGTTAAATATCTGTGACAGTGCACAAATGTGGGAAAATGAAACAAAGCCGTTGGACGTAACTTCTCGGGATCCTCCAAAGAGTCCACTGAAAAAATCTCAGTAAATTACCACCATTTTACTGAGATTATATTTGAATCCCATATCATCTCATATCATTTCATTTAATTTCATCCCACTTGATTAATGTCTCAAATTAATCATCTTCATTTCATTTCATTTTATGCCATGTTTCATATATTAATCAACTTCATTTCATTTCATAGTATCATATTCCATAAAAAAAAAAAAACTAGGCTGTTTGGTATAATACTTTTGCCTTTCCATTTGGAAAAATAAAACTACTACTACTACTGGCTATGCGGTGTGGCAGGGCGCTGGGCGGGCGGCGAGGGCGTGCGGCGTGAGCTGGTGCTACGGCGCGCCGTGCGTCTCTCTGTGCTCAGCGAGCGCCGCGCGCTGCCCCCCTACGGACTCCGCGGTGAGTGGCCATCAACAAGGCATTCGTGTCAACGAATCCTATATGGCAATAATAGGCAAACACACTGTTGTATTTATAACAACGGGCATATCACTCGGTATCCGCATCGTGTAATTTAATCATTATCCTTTGCTGCAGGCGCTTGGAAATTTTTTTTTTTTAATAAATTGTCAAATAGTTATGTGTTAGGTTTTTAATTTACTATAGTCGACATATTTGAAACTGAGTCGTCGGGCAATAAAGTTCACTGACAGTAGGAATGTGCACACAATGCAACCGATCGATCGATCGATTATCGATACTTAGCTAACTGCGCACGCCGGGACGATGCGTCATCGTGAACTTCATTAGCACTCCTGATTGGTCGTTACGAGTAAGGGTTGTTGTTTTTCTATAAATATAAGATTTTTGTTATGACACTCATTAAATTACTTACGCTTCGTGCGACGAAGGGCTCGACGAGTAAATTAACCCACAGACAGAGCCCACTGAGTTTCTCGCCGGATCTTCTCAGTGGGTCGCGTTTCCGATCCGGTGGTAGATTCTGCGAAGCACTAATCTTGCTAGGGCCAGTGTTAGCAACACCCGGTTTGAGCCCCGTGAGCTCACCTACAAACGTTAGGGTGAAGCTGAAATAGCCTCTCAAGGCTCAGCATAGGTAGAAAAAAAACCCACATCACTATATACCTCTAAGACCTGTAAGTTCGAGTGAGACAGACAGATAAATATGATTTATGACCCGAAGCCTCAGATCATAATGCGTCGACTAAGTATAGCATAAGTTATTGTAATATTTACTAACAAAATGTATGGTTTTTTGACTGAAATTAAGATCTATAATAATAATAAAAGTATGCGGTGTCAATCTAGGATATAAATTCTCTGTTAGTTCATTATTCATTGACAAAAAAAATATTCGCAAACATAATAGTAGAACTAAACCCTTGAATCTATATAAGCAAATCAGTGTGCTGTCAGTTAGAACTCTATTTCTTTTTCTGCCACGCGGTAAACTAACGTTTTCTATTTTACAAATGCGCATGGCGATTGTTAAAGCAATTTGGTGGGTGTATTTAAGGCGGCGAGGCTGGGGCCCGTGGACTCAACCTACTAGAGCGGACAGACGGCAGGATCATCAATCTCGGTGGAAAGGCGTCCGTTGACGCTTATCCAGGGGTAAGTCCTTAGAGGAAAATTACGTGGATGAGACCAGCTCGAGCGCCAAGTGCTGGCGACAGGACACCGCGTCCTCTCAAACTGTTTTTTTTTATTGCTTAGATGGGTGGAAGAGCTCACGGATCAACTGATGTTAAGTGGTTACCGAAGCCCATAGACATCTACAACGTAAATTGCCACCCATCTTGAGATATAAGTTCTAAGGTCTCAAGTATAGTTACAACGGCTGCCTCACCCTTCAAACCGAAACGCATTACTGCTTCACGGTAGAAATAGGCGGAGTGGTGGTACCTACCCGCGCGGACTCACAACAGGTCCTACCACCAGTAATAATTTTATGTTTATTTGATATTTTTTTAATTTTGAACGCATATTTCCTTACAACATATACGTGATGGGCTTAATCAACAGATCAAAATATCAAGAACGCCATTTGTAGTCTATCAATAACACTTGCGGACTTACAAGACGTCTTACCACCAGTAAATCAAATTGATCTTGTAACAGGGAATGCTGTGTATAAGAGAAACGACCTAGCTTGCTTTGTCCTTTCCCTCTCTCCACGGTCGAGTGGTTCGCGAGACGCTCTGTCTATTTTCTCACTCTCGCTCGTCCTTAACTGTATCTTTTCTCTCTAGCCGTAACGAATCTGTCGCTAGTTAAATTTAACTCTCAACACGCCTAAAGAAGTTTCACTTCAATTAGCAGAAGTTACCGATTATATAAACGCGTAATTACAGTTTATGAAAATGATCAATACCATCCTCCATGTTAATAGTAGATTAGGTAGTGTAATTGTTTAATGTGATTTCCTTTGTGATTGTGATCTATTGTTACTTCTTTACATTAAAAGTTAGATTGGTTTTCCTTATCGTGGTGTCTTGTCCTATAGTTGTAATTTGTCCTGATTAGTTGTGCGCGAATGGCTAATGTTACAAGCCAATTTTTGAAGTGAAACTTCTTTAGAATCGTTGCGATTTCAAACTCGATGAAACGAAAAAATAAGTCCATAGAGACACAAACACATAAATGTATAGGATTCAGCCGGCGAGAGAATGAGATAGAACACATTATACGTGAAGTTAAAATATCAATTCACAGAGAGTTTCACACACATGTGAATTGCGCACATATTTTTTTTTACTTGTTATTTATTGTGTATCTTTTCTTTTTTAGCTTGTAATGTGTATTGTGGGCCTAATAAATAAATAAATCTACCGTATACGAGTTTTCCAGTTTGAAGGAGAAGACGGTCTTTATATGATGCAAGAGATTTAGATTTCATGTCTCAAGCTGGGCAGTGAGCTTCGGTAACCGGTTAAAATCAGCCGCACTGCGAGATCGTCTCCTTGCGTTACATATATTGGTACAAAGCCTGGATGTGAACTTTGAAACTTTTCAGGACAAATACATAATGAATTCGCCCGGAGGTGGGGGGTATGGTCCCCCGGCGGAAAGCTCGAGTGACGAACAAACAGACAAACAATACAGCGCGTTTATTGAGCGGGGCAGCGTGTACGAGTACAGGAGTGCTCAGGAATCGGTTTAACGTAGACCACGCGTACTGTCTGGTCGAAATATTACTCTGTATTCCCTTCACATTATATCCTATCTTATTCGAGGTTGGCAAATGTTGTCCCAACATTACGACCATGGAGCTTGTTTGGTTCATCCCTCTGTTTATGATACTCATCCTATCCTACATTTTGTATCCGTGTTTGAAGGGCCTAGGTATTTTGGTTTCGACATGAAATTACCTAAGGTTCCACTCTTATCGTATCGGAAGTATATTTCCCGGTTCGCCCAAATTTGCAAGAAATTTGCAAGTCGCATAATAAGCTATTCTCCTCCAGTGACTTAACTCATATATGTTTGGACATTCTTGTATGTCTCAATCTGGAGACTACACTCAACTCCCCAGGGTCGATTTGGTTCTGGGTGGAGACCCGCAGTACATCAGACTAAATCCACACTCGGTTCGGATCTTATCCACTGCTTTTTCAGCGATCTTTCCGACTAATTTCTCATTTTTAATTGAGGAATCTATATTGATTTAAGACAACTTTACTGTATTTGTATGATGATGGAGACAGTGCCTTACAAGTATATTTACATATATATAGACTAGAGTTTTATATTTTCTTCAATAATAACCATTATGCCAATGACGTTAAGACTCATCTTAACTAACTTTGTCTATTGAAGACAGTGCCTTACGAGTATATTTACATATAGTCTAGATTTTTATAGTGACTTCAATAATAACCATTATGCCAATGATGTTAAGGCTCACCTTAACTAACTTTTTCTATTAGAAAATCATCTTTATATCTCATCGATATTATGCTATATCATCAAATCTATATCAAAAAAGAACCTTATGAATATACATATATGTAAAATAAATTATTCTAAGTTCGATGAATTATTAGTATTGCTGTTAAAGTTTTTCCGATCAGTTCGATAGAGAACCGTCCGCAAAGATTTACTTCAAAGTTAGTTGTTTATTTATTATCGGGTTTATTATATTCATTTTTACAATTTCCAAAATCCTCAAGTTTTTTTTTTTTTTTTTTATTGCTTAGATGGGTGGACGAGCTCACAGCCCACCTGTTGTTAAGTGGTTACTGGAGCCCATAGACATCTACAACGTAAATGCGCCACCCACCTCGAGATATAAGTTCTAAGGTCTCAGTATAGTTACAACAGCTGCCCCAAACCGAAACGCATTACTGCTTCACGGCAGAAATAGGCAGGGCGGTGGTACCTACCCGTGCGGACTCACAAGAGGTCCTACCACCAGTACGACCAGACCAGATCTATAAAATATATATTATATTTTTTAATTAATTTACATAATTAATAGCATCTTTGGGATTTCATCTTCGCCATAAGAGGGTGCTGCATTTAGATCACTTGTATTCAGGACGTTTGGAATTTTTTTTAATTAAAATGTTAAACTCATTCTTTGCTGCGAGTGAAAATAGCTAAAGTCTGTCTATATAAAATTATAAGATGGATAAGGACACGGGGGAAGATCTAAAAAAAACAAAACTATATTTTTTAAATATGTTAACGTTTATCATTATAAGTACAAATATCTACTATGTTTGACGAATGAAAATATTTTATTTTTGTTTAATTGTTGAATGTTTATTATGCATTTTAATATGTATTTTATAATTATTGGATCATTTTTGACAATTTATATATAAATAAATATTAATCGAATTTGGAGTTTCATTTTGATTTCGTCCCTTGGCAGTTTTGTGTGAAGATTCACAGCAACTGACAAAAGACAATGAACTTTTACTAAGCTTTTAAATGAAAGCTTTATTAGCACCATATACTTAAAATTTATCCAAACAAATCAATATCTTAACAAATTAATTGAATATGCAATTTCGAAAAGGGCACATGTCGCATATTTTGTCAAATACGTTTTTTCATATTGTACATGTAGTTTTGAGGCTTACCTACCTACACCCATTTTATAATAATTCCAGTAATTTTCAATTGCTAATTAAAACTAAAATATATCTCAAAAGTTAATATTTTAAATTTTACACTGCTTTAGAAAATAATCAGTTTTTTTTTTCATTTCCTGAACATTTTCAGAGATGTCCTCTTTTCGAAATTGAATATTCAATTAAATACATAGTTTTTTCGACAGTTTCATTGTGACCAGTAACTCGTGGTCACCGACGACACAATTCTTCAATAACTTTAAGTCTTATTGTAATCCTTATTCCCGAAGACCAGCCTCCCGCCCTCGGTCGAGTGTCAAGTGTTGTGATCGGCGGCCGCCAGAGCCTCCCTGTTCTCGTAAGCCCAGAAGCCGTGCAGCTCCAGCAGTATGGAGACTGCGGTGTGCCCGTGACCACTCCTCACCAGGTCTTGGAGTGTGATCTTGGTCGGGTCTTTAGGTCGGATCATGTCGAATATCTCGTCTTTCACATCATCGAAATTGACCGGCTCGGCTCCGTGGGCTATCATCTGTTTCTGTATCGCCTGTTTATGGATGTAAAATATCAATTTTTTTAAACTCAAGTGTATGAATATTTTTTTTAGTTTGTTAGGCGAGTAAACTGATTTTTTTTTATTGCTTAGATGGGTGGACGAGCTCAAAGCCCACCTGGTGTGAAGCGGTTACTGGAGCCCATAGACATCTACGACGTAAATGCGCCACCCACCTTGAGATATAAGTTACAACGGCTACCTCACGGGTCCATTAAAAATATAAACTTTTTATACAAGAGGTAAGTGGGTTAAGTATACTAATAAAATAGGAAGGCACACACTGTATACCTTATATATACATATTCCTATATATACTGTATATATTCCTAAATATATACAAAATGCATGCCAAGTATACAAGCAAAAAACACAAGACGGTTTAACCGCTAAAGGGTACCAAAGTACCACCATACCGAAAGATATGAGAAAATTTAATCTACTAAAAACAATTCAACATACACTTGCACATAACCAGGATACCTGAATTCATTTTAAATATAGTCTTTTCGCATTAAAAGTATACAATTTCCTAAAATATTCGAAATTGAGTTAATATGCGGAACCATTTGGTATCACCAGTATTTTTCTCATAAATACTGTCAAAAGAGCATAATTTAGTTTTTGTTTATCATGTTTTGACTACTATTAACAAAACTAATACATAATTTTATCTTACTTTAAAAGACAAATAATGTAACTGGTAAAAAATAAAAAATAAAAATGTTGCAAAGATGATTAATATTAAAAACTAGCGACCCGCCCTCGCTTCGCTTCGGAAACATTAATTTTATTATTGATAGCTGAGTCCCGCGATGTTACCTGCGGTTATTGTCGTACCGCGGGAGACGCCGCAGGGCGAAGCTAGTCTTAAAAAAAGTAGCCTAAGGTACTCCTTATATCATCAGCTACCTATCAGTTAAAGGCTCGTTAAAATCGGTTCAGCCGTTCCAGAGATTAGCCGGAACAATCAGACAGACAGACAAAAATTGTAAAAAAAAATATTTTGGTGCATGTACCGTATATATATTTATATGCATGCGGTTGTTTCAATATTACAAACAGACACTCCATTTTTATTTATATGTATAGATATCAAACGTTAAACCTTTAAAACATTCTCCTGTAAAATTACTAAGTTTTGAAATTATACAGTTTTAATGCGAGAAGACGATATATTATTTGTACTTTAAAATAAGTTACCTTAAAGAAATAATTCAAGGTGAAGGCGTCGAGGTAGCCCACGGAATTGATGTCCAACACTCTGAACAGATAGGCGAGTGCGGCGGGCTGCTTCCGGTTCTCGAGGGCGAGGACCAGGTCCAGGTACGTCTTGTAGTCCATCTCGCCGTCGTACGTGAGGCACTGCTGGAAGACGCGCTGGAGGAAGGCCTGGGTCAGGGTGCCGGAGCCGTAGCTGCGAAGGAAATTCAGGATCCAGTAATGGCCGTGAAACCGCCCATCCGGTATTTTCCTACTACCCTACAAAAGTAGTCAGACCTTTATATTTTGATAGCTCGAGTACCTATCATGCAAAAAAACTATTAATTCAATTCTGTTGAGGTTTTCTGTACGTAAACTTATAGAAGCCATCGTCGTCTAAAGGATAAGACGTCCGGTGCATTCGTATGTAGCGATGCAACGTTATTCAAATCCCGCAGGCGGGTACTAATTTTTGTAATGAAATACGTACTTGACAAATGTTCTCGATTCGACTTCCACGGTGAAGGAATAACGTCGTGTAATAAAAATCAAAACCGCAAAATTATAATTTGCGTAATTACTGGTGGTAGGACCTCTTGTGAGTCCGCGCGGGTAGGTACCACTACCCTGCCTATTTCTGCCGTGAAGCAGTAATGCGTTTCTATTTGAAGGGCGGTGCAGCCGTTGTAACAAATTAAAAAACAAAAAATACACAATTATGTTTCCATCCCTCTTTTCTTCTCAGTCACATCACTTCATTGCTAAAAGTCGTGCCCTTGAAAGATCTTCATGGCTCTGCAGAATTATCTTCCCCTAGGATTTTTCCTTCCCTCTCATAAGCTCTCCAAAAGTCCCAGAGCCCATCACAACTCACCCGGCTAGTTCGTTTATACTGAGCATCCCGTTGTGGTCTCTGTCCAAGTTCAAGTACTGCCCGTAGACGCGCAGCGCCGAGGCCGCACTGAACCAGTTTTGCTCTTGCAACTCCATCGGTAGGTCTTCTTCGCGGAGCTGGAAACGTAAAAAGGATTCTTGAGATGGACCTGACAGTTTTTATTTATTTATTTCCTAGATGGGTAGGCGAGCTCACAGCCCACCCGGTGTTAAGTAGTTACTGGAGCCCATATACATCTACAAAGTAAATGCGCCACCCACCTTGAGACATTTTCCCGATGGCGGGTACCAATTTTTCTATAGTCGTCGTGGCCTAAAGGATAAGACGTCCGGTGCATTCGTGTCGAGTCGTACCATTACTCGTGCCGTTGTAACTATACTGAGACCTTAGAACTTATATCTCAAGGTGGGTGGCGCATTTACGTCGTAGATGTCTATGGGCTTCAGTAACCACTTAACACCAGGTGGGCTGTGAGCTCGTCCACCCATCTAAGCAATAAAAAAAAAGGTGCGTTAGCCAAACATACAATAGAGACTTCAATCGCGTGTCAACATGAGTGGCGGCGTTAACGTGAGGTCCTGATAATTTTTTACAAAGGAAAGAAGCGTAATAAAAGTTTGGGCGGATAAGTCTGAGTGAAGGGCTCACTGTATGATGGGTCACGAAGAATCAAAACTATTGGAATTCACAGAATACCAATATAATAAATAAAAATATTATAATTTGAAAATTATGTTAAGAATCAGCTGAAGTAAGGGGTCAGTGACCTCTCACGAGCCAATTAATTTGTTGAAGACAAGCGACCGTCTGAACAGGACTAATAAAAAAAAACAATAACCACAAGCATTCCTTTCTTACCTCAAGTAAATCATCTAAGAAAGAACAGGATAGGACGTCGCTGATCCTTACACGTCCGATCCGTAGTGGGTCGAGGAAGAAAAGGAACTTCCTCGCTGCCGTGCATACGTAGAACGAGGTGAATGATGAGTCCAGACCGTCGAGAGCTGCCAGAGACGGGACTAACTCTGCTATGTAACTCTCCAAATCCTAAACGACAAGTAATTAAGTAATAGTATTTGTTAATGATGAAACTATATGAACAAATAAGCTGTGTGTTTAGTAGAGATATCGGGCTATCGATATGCAGTGACGTCATAATCCGTTAACTGCATATTTTTTGTTATTCCACAACTACCCTCGTATATAAATATAACAGTTTTTATTAATTTGATCTTTGGTCTAATGATTTGGAACAAATACTTTTATAAAATAATAAGCAAATTTTTATTCAATTCCATAGTATTAGAGGAAGGACTGGTCTGTAAGTGTTTAGTGCTGATCTAAAACAATCTCAGAGATATCGGATTAAAATGTATGTTTGAATGTATGACAATGAAATGTATGACATTACAAAGAGCTAAAGAAAAGCAAGATTTACTCCAAAATTTTGAAGTCAGAAATGTACATAATACTAAATAAAACTAAATACTAAACAAAAACCAGACCAGTTGTGGTAGCCTGATGCACATAACACCTGATGACATCTATATAACAATATACCTATACTAGTGTGCAAATCCCATATGCTAGTACCACCATTTCAACAGAATTAACAATTTGTAGTAGACGGTGGCGTTGTAGCAGAGATATTGCTGCTGTCCATGATCAACTGTAACCACTCCCGACCAAGTTGGCCGTCTGCCTAAAATTAATTATAAAAAAAAGAAACTAATATAATATGTTCATGAACAAATTCCATATTAACAGTCAGAGTTAACAGGGTATAAAGATGCCTCAATACAGTTATCATTAACAAGTTGACGAAAGAGGTGTTACAATAATTTTTATCTATTTTCTCTATATAGTGTTTTCAATAAATTATATTCATACTAACTTGCTCAGTGAGATAACCTTGTCCTGTAACATCATAGAGAGATAGTCCGATTCTCGTCTGCTGCAGCCACACTCGTCTCATAACATAGTTGAATAGAGAGACAGCACGAATCCTGCCCACACTGCCTTCGGCTGCTTGCAGACGTCCGAAAACTTCTGCTGTGAAATATGGTCTGAAAAAAAATTACATTCTATTGCTACAGGTTAATCAGTTTTTATAACTGAACTGAATTAATAGTAAAAATTTGTAGTACATTCCAAATCAGATTTCATTTTTCAAAGCAAGCTTTTTATATTGTAGTATATTGGGCACATAATAATCAATTAAAATTTTAAAATTATTTAAAGCCAAATAATTTTCTTGCTTAATTTTTGCTTCCTTTTGTTTATATTTTTTCCTAACTTTATCTATTCGATGACATTGGATTTTTTTACTATCATCGAAAGTGTTTAACATAAATAGTACTAAAACGAAATTTCTCATAAATAAATAAAAAAATAATAATCTCAGAGAAGATTCCCTTTTAGTTTCTTGTCTGAACAGAGAACTAATGTGTAACTAAGGCACATCTCAGTTTCAAATGGATTGGATGAATTTCAGTTGCACCAGATTCTATAAAGAACCTTGTGGGACTACAGCCATTTGATACAGTATTTAGAAACTGCTAGTTGGCATTCTCTAGCATTGCAGGCTGAGTCTAACCTGTGGTCACTATGCCATGACAAACAATTCAAAATTTGGTAGTAAAGTTAATCACACTACCTATATTTAGGTCCAGCTTCTTCTCTGATCTTCTTAAATTGAAAATAGTCTATGATCAACTCATCATTGTTGGAACTGCTGTAATTCCCGTTGGTCTTCTCTAACAGGGTCCAGAGATGTTTCAACTCAGCATTATCGAGTAGCTCCTTGCTTTTCTTCTGCAGAAATTGTGCTCGAGTTTCTTCTCGTAGCTTCTGTGCTAGGACATCATCATTACGGGGTAGTTTGTAATAAAATTTAGGTATGCTTTTGTAAGATTCATCATTGTCCAATTTAGGTTGATAAAGTTCCTTGAATGTCTCGACTTCAATTGTTTCACTTTCTTGTTTTGTTATGCTCGTTCCAGTGTCTGTTGGATAATGTTATATTAATATAATATGTATCATCAGCCCAGAGACATCCACTGCTGGACTGGGTCTCTGTCAAGGTCATGATGACTCCGTGTCCAGCAAATATATCATATGGTGCAGTAATAAATTATAGTTGGTTACAGTGACTTACATATTATGATACCTTTTTGTGGTTTATGAAGTTACAAATATGTTATTAAGTTTAATTGAAAAGTTATCCCGAATAGACATTTTTTAACTGGATTATTTTGTAAATTATTATGATTTACTAGTTATATCATTCAGTTGTTTAAAAGAAAGTTGAATAAAATATTTAAAAGACATGTTTATAAGACATATTCGCTTCAAAGTAGACTACTAGTATACCGTCTAGTTTTTTAATGTATTTCTTGAGTCTGTTTTTTAAAATATTATTCAATTTGGTGTCCTGTTCGTTCGGTGGCTTGGCGTCCCCAGGAGCACTAATGTCGGTTCCACTGCCCTTATTTTTCACTTCTTTTTCTTTATCAGACATGATTTAGTTTTGGAAACTAGTGTATTAGTGCTTTTTAAAAAAAATCATTAATTTCATTGTGATAGCGAGTCAATAGTAATAGCGAAAAAACAATTTCACTAAATTTTTTTTGGTTAAAATCCCTCACTGATTGTTTACTATCAAATCAAAACTTACTGGTGTCACGGTGACATTGACACTAATAAGAATTTGACATTTCTGGGATACGTAGGTAAGCATAATATTAAACATTAAACTTACAAAGCATTTTAGTAGGTACCTACTAACTTTTAAGATATCGAGGTCGTATTTTTAATACAAGAAATAATTAAACTTATGTAGTAAATTAACAGAAGCATTTAAAAACAAAAAACCAGGTAAAGTAAACCTAGGCAAACAAAACATACTCATAGATCTCGTATTTTCCAGCAATAAAATAATTAAATTTGTTTAAATATGTACTATGAACAATGAAAATAAAACAAACGGAAAAAAAGGTGGACCTACACGTTACAGTTTGAATAGCACCGCGACGAAATAAGAAACCTTTCAATTAATTCCATATTTTTACCAGAGATGGCGTTAACTAATAAATCGAGCCCGCTAAAGCACAAAAATTAAAAACGCGCGTTGAAATCTTTTAAACCACATGAATGTTTCAGAAACTCTTTTCAATTTATGCACGTTGAGTGAAAATGAAATTTAAATATTATTATAAACAAGTCCTGTAATCGAACACACAAATTACAAAGTTGTTGACGGTAACCAACATAGCGCATAAAACTAGTGAAAGCCATTAATTTACAACAACAAAGAATAAAAATTTAAAATAGACGAGACATGACATTGACTGTTCGAATTATATTTTTAATCTTGAAAATTTGAATAAAATCAGCTGAACCTTGCTATTTAAATACAGAATATTACCTTTTCCCCCCTATCTATTCGCTGGTATGTTAAGGGCCTATTGCAGTTACCCGTGCACTAGTAAATGAGCTCACGGGCTCAACCTGAGAGAATTTGCTAACACTAGCCCTAGAAAGAGCAGTGCTTCACTGAATCTACCACCGGTAAACGCGACTCACTAAGAAGATCCGGCGAGAAACTCAGTGGGCTGTGTCTATAGCAAATTATATATTTATGCTCATTAAATATTAACACAAAAACAGTGCTCCTTCTAGTAACATTAAATCTCTGCTAGATCGTGCAAGTGATATGAAAATGCTTTCTTTGCCGCGAACATTAACTGAACGATTTCCCTATAAGGTACATGTGAGAAGGGATTTCTCTTTAAGCAACACTTTTAAATGTATCTGTTTATTTCTAACAACAATCAACAATACATTGATAAAACTAGCTTTGTCCGCGTGGAATAGTTACTTTGGCATAACGCAAAATTTTAACCTCCCCCCCCCCTTCATTTACGTAGAAAGTGAAAATCTTTTTGAATTATAGAATGTTAAGGAGCCATTTAAACCCCTATTTTGAAACATTCTTCATTGGTGCTCCACTTATATTGGTCTTACCGTGTTGTTATATAGCCTATAGTCTTCCTCAATAAATAGGCTATCTAACACTGAAACAATCTTTCAAATCGGACCAGTAGTTCCTGAGATTAGCGCGTTCAAACAAACTCTTCAGCTTAATAATATTAGTATAGATTAATAAATAGAGATCATTATAATTCTGCTTAATTCAACATTATATTTAATTTTGTTATAATTCGTCGTGGCCTAACGGATAAGACGTCCGGTGCATTCGTATGTAGCGATGCACCGGTGTTCGATTCCCGCAGGCGGGTACTAATTTTTCTATTGAAATACGTACCTAACAATTGTTCACGATTGATTTCCACGGTGAAGGAATAACATCGCGTAATAAAAATCAAACCCGCAAAATTATAATTTGCATAATTACTGGTGGTAGGACCTCTTGTGAGTCCGCACGCGTAGGTACCACCACATTGCACATTTTTGCCGTGAAGCAGTAATGCGTTTCGGTTTGAAGGGTGGGACAGCCGTTGAAACTATACTGATACCTTAGAACTCATATCTCAAGGTAGGTAGCGGCAGTGGGTGGATGTCTATGGGTTCCAGTAACCACTTAACACCAGGTGAACTATGAGCTCGTCCAACGACCTAGCAATTAAAAAAAATTGTCATAAAATGCAATTTTTGTGTTTTGATTGGTACCATTGAAGCATCGATGTAATGTAGGTATAATGTTAATTTTAATGTTAAGCTCCGTTTGTTTGTTGGGTTACCTATCACGTAAAAGCTCCTGCGCCGGCTCTGTAGAAGCATTGTACGTGTAAAAGATTTAGGTCGAAATAAAAAAAAAAGAAAACGAGGGTTGAAGGGCTTTTTGGTTTAAGCGATATTTCTACAACTTTACAGGAGAGCAATTGAAAGTTTAAAATTTGGAATAAGTAATAAACAAACAAACAAACTTCTTCAGCTATTTGTATGAAGTAAGCTTCATTGAAGTTCACTTAACTATACTTGAGACCTTAGAACTTATATCTCAAGGCGGGTGGCACATTTACGTTGTAGATGTCTATGGGCTCCAGTGACCACTTGTGAACACAGTGACCACCAGGTGGGCTGTGAGCTCGTCCATCCACCTGAGCAATAAAAAAAAAATAAAAAATTAAAAACATCGAACTGTTGCTTATACCAAATAAAACGTACCTTTAATTACAAAGATAAAATATATTGCTTATTAGGCGAAATGTTAACGATTTTATCAATGGTTGATGAAAAGGCACTCTATTGACGTAAGCCTGTCGCTGGAAAAAAATAATGTCAATACGTTGTATTGTTCCGTCTTGAAAGAAGGACAAACAAACACATTTTACTTTTATAATATTAAGGTATAGATTAAAGCAATACGCCGCGACCTGTGTTTTTGTTTGTCAAATGATTTTCACTGAGTTTCTCGCCGGAACTTCTCCATGGGTCGCGATTTCGATCCTGTGGTGTAGACCTACTAGCCATAGCGGAGCCGGAATAGCCCCTAAAGCTACCAGCAAATAGCTAGAAAAAAAAACTATCGCAGCACTATACTACTTGTATTTAAAAATATATATATATCTATAGTAGACAGCCAATCGAAAACCGTCGTGTTTTCGCAAACAATTAAGGTGGCTATTCTATTTTCATACTGTTGTACATATGACCTTCTAATCTCTTTTGTAACCTAATCCATCATTGTCATAGTTATACGTTGCTCGAGCGTTACGTTATAAAACTTAGCGTAGATAGCGTTATATTAAAAAGCGTTGCGTAAACTTTTTTTAAATATCATGACGTCACAACCGAGTAGTGGTATCTATCTATCTATCTATGTATTTATATAAAAATGAATTGCTGTTCGTTAGTATCGCTAAAACTCGAGAGCGGCTGGACCGATTTGGCTAATTTTGGTCTTGAATTATTTGTGGAAGTCCAGAGAAGGTTTAAAAGGTAGATAAATATGAAAATGCTCGGAATTAAATAAAAATAACAATTTTGTCATCCTTTGATATGTCCCCAGTCGGGCAGGGATTCCTTTTGTTTGTTTTAAGTTTATTTTATACAAATGCTTAGGTTTTTTATATATCGATTGAGGCACTACGAAGTCTGCCGGGTCAGCTAGTATGCAATAAAATCAAACTTGTTCTCAAACGATGATTACATGATAAGATAATGGAGCTTGCACATAGAGAGATATTTTAAGACCCTTGCAGGCAGACGTGCATATAGCTTACCTAATAGTGAGTGGCTACCCTCGTTCACATAGCTCCGACAACGAAGAAATAGCTCAATTTGTAGAATCAAACCGGCTGGATTTAGTGCTCGATAATTTTAATTTTGCTATATTAATATCGTCCGTTGTGATCCCTTCATGGTGGAGGTCGGTCGCGAATTTGTGTTAAGAGCGTATTTCTTTGGTAACAATAGAAGATACATATACTTGCGAGATTTGAACTGAGCGACAAAGCCGCGTTCCTTTTTTTTCTACTTTAACACCTGCGATCAGTCGCCAAGACTATAATCAGGTGAGTTGCGAGAGGTTATGGTTTAGAGGGGCAGAGCCAATGCTCGGTCTCTCCTTAGTTTTTTTTTTGTTGCTTAGATGAGTGGACGAGCTCACAGCCCACCTGGTGCTAAGTGGTTACTTGAGCCCATAGACATTTACAACGTAAATGCGCCACCCACCTTGAGATATAAGTTGTAAGGACTCAGTATAGTTACAACGGCTGCCCCACCCTTCAAGCCAAAACGCATTACTGCTTCACGGCAGAAATAGGCGGGGTGGTAGTACCTACCCGTTCGGACTCACACGAGGTCCTACCACCAGTAAGTAGGGTAGCACGTCGGCTCTCTTGAGTCTTATAATCGGATTTGGCTGCAAGAGTAAACCGGGTTTGGGTGAGCTGTCAATTGGCTCTTATAGTTGGCCGAGTATCGCTTAACTTCATCCAATATGGTTGGGATTTCCAGGTACTGGTGGATTTCCGAATTTCGAGTATACCAAGGCGCCGACGAGAGTACCCTCAGGATACTGTTTTGAGCTCTCTGGAGGCACTCCATGTGAGGACTTTTTACCTACCTAATCGTTGGTAGCATAAAGGACTATTCCAACTTAGCGCGGACCGGTAGGTGAATTACTAACACTAGCCCTAGCAAGAGCAGTGCTTCGCTGAATCGACTACCGGATCGGAATCGCGACCCATTGAGAAGATCCGGCGAGAAACTCAGTGGGAATGAGGACACTGGACGTCTTATCCTTTAGGTCACGGCGATATAAAAAAATAACACTGTTTCCATTTCTATTCCGGATATATTTTTCGAAAAAAGTTCGTCTTCCAGACATTGTCTATTATCAGCCATCGAAATCAGTATATCGCATGTCTTATTACTGTTTTTTTTTTCACGTGCCCCTATTTTTCAGCCGTGGCATAGAATATAATTGTGACATTACAACCGAAAAGTATCCAATACGAAGCAAGAATTCCACAGAACGATCCATTAGTCAATCAACTGTCACGATGCGCTTATAACTCGTGTCCGTGCCATTTCTAATGCCATAATATGTAAATATTTTCATTGCGTGCGTATAAGCTATTACGTAATTTTGTTTATTCGAATATGCGGGAGCTCAGGACCGGCCATCAGCTATCGGCCTAATGTGCGCGGGCGCAGACCGACCCAGCCAGTTCCGACGGTCCCACGGCTGGCTCCCAGCATTGCCAAGTCGTCAGTAACGCGTCAACCTTTGCGGGGCGCGGACGTGACGTGCTCGGAGTTTGATTTAATAATAATAATAAGAAAAAAACAATCGCCGTGCGTTTGGAAACAGTGTTTTTGTTTGACCATTAGTGCCATACGATCTGGCGTCCGAAGCGAGTTCGCCTAAAACCATCGCTGTGTTGTTTTACACATGGATTAACGCGAAAGCGGAATGCTCTAAAGGTAAGGTTAAGCGGCCGAATCGAAAAGGGCTGTGTTTCTATGAGCTGGTTACAGAGTTGTCGTTCTCCGAGGGAGGGTCAGGGGAGCTTTTACAACGCGCTTGGCATTCTCCGGCGATCGTTTGTCAACAATTGTGCAAGTTCCGTAAAGTAATGTTGTCTATGGTTTCGCAATTTGTTTTGCCGATCTCATCGGCCTTGTCGGGCGACGTGTGCGCTGACTCGACGGAAATTTGTCATTCGAAGTGCATTAAATTATTTACTTAACTAGAACTATTCGCGGCTGCGTTGTACCAGCTACAAATTACGCACCTTCGAAAGGCTGCAACTAATCACATTGAGAAAGGTTGTTCTTGAACTTAAATAACTAGGCTGCAACCAGCTGAGTGCAAAAGTAGAGCAACGTAGAGCAAATAAGTTATTTTTAATTTATTACTCTCTACGTACGCGTAAAGTTAAAAAAAAATCGTAAAAAAAAATTGAATATATATTTTATGAGAAACGCTTAACTTTCCCTAATCTCTAAGTTACTATTTCAAGGTTTCATTTTTTTTATTGATTCGAATTTAAATTTTAATAAATTTTACTACCCTTTCTAAATACACTATTTAGATAAATAATGAGACAATAGAATCTCGGCATAGACACTTAATAGAGTTCTGCTAATTGACTATTCGTGTAAGGGTTTTTACGATCGAAATTTTTATGTTAAACACGTTTTTTTTTTAACTTAATGACTTTTTAATTTTGATTGATGTTATTGATTTCTCGTTAGTTTTTTTATTCACGGTTACTAAAAGAGATTTTACTCGCAGTTTTAAACTACGACTAATTTTATTATGAGAAGCGCGTATGCAGGGGTTTGCCTATGCCCCTTTATCCACAGACACAGCCCACTGAGTTTCTCGCCGGATCTTCTCAGTGGGTCGCGTTTCCGATCCGGTGGTAGATTCTGCGAGGCACTGCTCTTGCTAGGGCCAGTGCTAGCAACACTCCGGTTTGAGCCCCGTGAGCTCACTTACACGTCAAGGAGAATCTGAAATGGCCTCTCAAGGCTATCAGCATAGGTACGGAAAAAAAACTACGCCCCGGCTTTGCCGAAGCTTACAAGCGACGATGACCACTCACTAACTGTGGGGCCGTATAACCGTCAGCCTATACTGCAAATTTTTATATGTTTAAATTAGTCTGCTGGAAGAAAATTCAATTTATTAAACTCACTTCTGTTCATCATCATCATCATTCATTCTCCTGCCCTTCTACCATACACCTGGGTTCGGCGCAAAATGTTTTCTTCTTCCATACTCCTCTATCATATACCATTTCTTCGCTCACTTCCCTCTTACACATATCGTCTTTCACGCAATCCATCCATTTTTTTTGTTTTTTTCTCTTTTGTCCATATTGCCTGTACTTCTGGCGCGAACAATAATGCGTTCTGGTTTGAACCATGTCTCAAAGCGGGTAGTGGAATTCGAGCGGTGATATCTATCAACTGTAGGGACAGATCAGCCCTGGGCTCGTTCTCTTAAAGCTCGTGTAAAAAAAAAAACTTTGCACCGAAAAGCTTCGAAAGCACGGTCTTGAGAAGTTAAGACGCCGTTATTCGGAGCCAACGAAACGCTAATCCAGTTTAATGACACAACCTCTGTTTTCGTTTCGTATGACAAAATCGTTTATATAATCGGTCCGCGGTCCGGGCTACCTGCGATCTCCGTCGTGCCAACTCTCCGTCTCTGAGGTTCGTTCGAGGCGGATGCGCGTTAGGAAAATTCAAGAGTCAGCGCGATTTGGACTGCGAATACTGGGCGTTTCGTATTTCTAGGAACCGATTTAGGCGCGTTTCTGGTTGAGATTTTTTGGCGATGTCGTTTTTTTCTAACTTAGATAATCGTTTTGGGATTCAAAGTAAACTTTTGATGATGTTATTTTGTGCTTTAGAAATCGTGTCCTAACGTTGTGTTTGAGTGTAGTCTGGTATGGTAATAGACTCCTCTGCACGGTGCTTCCTAGGTGCTTTTATAAGTTTCTTTAGTTTTAAAAAGGGCGGTTGTGGTACATTAGGGCTTGGCTATGCTATAAAAAATGGTATGGTATGGTAAAAACTCTCGAAAAAAAAAGGATTACTAACATTAACTATTAATCAATTTAATACAACTAACCAATACAGAATCGTTTGATTTCTTTTTACCTATTAATCTACGGAGACAATCCTAGTCTGTACTCACTCGTATAGAATGTGAATTTATTGATGACTATAACGAAGCCAAATTATATGAATATTGCATTAACCACTGTGGTGTAGTATTGAAGTGTAGTTCTCGGGAAGTAGTTCGCGGATAAAAGTCGTCACGTAACAAAAAAACGTTATGTCCCTAGTTCTTGACTTGAAACAAATCTTTTCTTCTTCTGTTTTTCCACCTTATGCCACTAGGTGGGGTCGGCACAGCTATTTTTTCTCTTCCATTCTCTTCCATCAGCGGTCATCTCAATACTCACTCCCCTCTCTCTCTCTCTCTCTCTCTCATATCATCATTCACACACTCCATCCATGACTTCTTCGGTCGACCTCTTCCCCCTCTACCTTGCAGTACCATTTCTATACGTCTCCTAGTCAAATGCATCTTCTCTCTACGCATCACAATATGTCCATTCCACTCTATTAAACAAGCCTGACAATTAAAATAAAACAATGAAACTTCGAGGCCTTGTAAGTCTTATAACATAGAAGAAATTTTGAACGTCCAATACAATTATGAATTTTTAAAACTCACAATGGAATTTTTCATAATAATTTCTGTAAGAAGTAGCCTAATGTAAGGAGATAAGCAGAGTTAAAAGCAAATACTTTACGAGTGAGCGATTTTTGCCCGAGGCGATATATTCGCCATGAAATACAAATAGCAAACATTGGCAGTTTTGTTTTTCTTTTTTTTTCTTTTTCATTGCTAGATGTGCGGACGATCTCACAACCCACCTGGTGTTAAGTGGTTAGTGGAGCCCATAGACATCTACAACGTAAATGCGCTACACACCTTGAGATATAAGTTCGAAGGTCTCAGTATAGTTACGACTGCTCTACCCTTCAAACCGAAACGCATTAGTGCTTCACGGAAGAAATAGGCAGAGTGGTGCTACCTACCTGTGCGGACTCACAAGACGTCCTACCACCCTCCCCTGACCGCATTTTTTTGTTCACAGTCAGGTTTTGGCGAATCTATTTTTATTAGTCGTCGTGGCCTAAAGGATAAGACGTCCGGTGCATTCGTGTGTAGCGATGCACCGGTGTTCGAATCCCGCAGGCGGGTACCAATTTTTCTAATGAAATACGTACTCAAGAAATGTTCACGGTTGACTTCCACGGTGAAGGAATAACATCGTGTAATAAAAATCAAACCCGCAAAATTATAATTTGCGTAATCACTGGTGGTAGGACCTCTTGGGAGTCCGCACGGGTAGGTACCACCACCCCGCCTATTTCCGCCGTGAAGCAGTAATGCGTTTCGGTTCGAAGGGTGGGGTAGCCGTTGTAACTATACTGAGACCTTAGAACTTATATCTCATGGTGGGTGGCGCATTTACGTTGTAGATGTCTATGGGCTCCAGTAACCACTTAACACCAGGTGGGCTGTGAGCTCGTCCACCCATCTAAGCAATAAAAAAAAAAAAAAAAAAAAAAATATTATTTACCGCATGTAATAACGCGGTGAAGTGTAAAAATCGAATATTGATTTCAAAACAACATCCTTTCACATTTGACCCCAGGGCAAAACTAGTTCACCAGAAGATTCATTCCGATTAATGGTCAGTCGGATTACAATCGTGTATCAGCATGATTATAATCAACTTAAAAACGGAAGCTTAACTTGGACATTGGAGGAAAGGGATGGAAAAATTTTGGATTAGATCTAGACTATGATAATTTTAATATAAGAACAGAAGGGCCAGGAACAAAAATGATATTAAGACTTGATGATGATGAAGATGATGACCTGAAGTTTCAAGGCCGACGGTCAAGGTCGATATGATAGACTGCGGTGGCTACTTGAAACCAGGCGGGCCGTAAAAGAGCTAAGAATAAATTAATTACCTCCAAGTAATGAAATCATCATCACATGGACACGTATCTGTTTGTGCTTCTATCGCGCAGCAATGGAACGAAATGTTATTTAGGATAAAGGTTATCGGTCACAGAGTAATGATCTCACTGGTACCCTGCCTATTTCAGCCGTGAACCAGTAATCCATTTCGGTTCGAAGGGTGGGGCAGTCGTTGTAACCATACTGAGACCTCAGAACTGCTATCTCAAGGTGGGTGGCGCATTTACGTTGTAGATGTCTATGGGCTCCAGTAACCACTTAACACCAGGTGGGCTCTGAGCTCGTCCACCTATCTAAGGAATTAAAAAAACTGGCAACTGAGTATAGTTACATTGAAATATAACTGAGTGTAGTTACATTGAAATAGTGCCTGCTGAGTTCATTAAAGTTGCATTCATCCTCATATCTCACAATTTTTACGTTTATTTTAGTTTGAAACGGAAGTGGAACTGAGCAAGACACTTATTCAGATATAAGGATGAGGGTTGGACTTACCGAACTACTAAATGGCTTGGCTTAAAAGGCAGAGTTGCGCCGGTAAGAGTAACGCCATTTATAGCCGAATAGTCGAATGAATATCAAAGGATCTGGTAGCACCTAGAACGCTCGAGAAGTACAACGCCATCTATTGTCAGATATCGGAAACACAATACTCGAAATGTGTGGAATATTCTCGATAATTATAGGGATGTGGTATCGGCTATAAAAGCGTTGCAGAGATGGCACGCAGTCAGTTAGTAATCGGAACTACTCGAAGCGAAGCAGCGAATGGATCACTTGAAGCGCAGCGGAAGAAGCGAATTGAGAATTTTAAAGTGTTTGTGAAGTGAAGTGCTAATAAGGTTTTAATTTGTAATTCGGTAGAATTTTTATTTATCCCGAACCCCAGCGCCTAACGATT